TCACTAACCCCATTTTGCTATGGAGTATATGGAGTAGTAAGCTAATGTTCAATTCCTACCTCCTCACAGAACAGATTAAACTTTTTTTTTATGTATATTCAGTCACATTATCTGTTCTTAGAATTTGAATCTTCAACCCACTTTGATTCTCTAACCAGCTCTTAAACTTCCAAAATATTCCAACAACTTCTGACTTGAACTTCATAAAGTAAATCCAGCACATTCTAAAGAAATCATCAATGAAAAGTACATAATACTTACTTCTATTCAATGATGATTCACTCAAGGGTCCTCTAATATCATTATGAATCAGCTGCAATTTACTTGTTGCTCTCCAAGTAGATTGTGGGAATGGCAATCTAATTTGTTTTCTAAATTGACAAGCTGCACAACTTGTCATATTTTCCTCCAATGATGGTACACCTTCTGCCATATTATTTTTCTCCAACAAACGCACAGCTGTATAGTTGAAATGACCCAACCTTTTGTGCCAAATTTCAGTAAGAGAAATTGAGCTCACAGTAGTAGCTTCTTGAATTTGCATCAAGTCTAATGAAAAGCTTTTGCCTTTCATTTGTATCTTAAACAAATCATTTCCATCAGTTTGAATCAAACACATCTTGTCCTTAAAGATCAACCTGTATCCTTTCTTGAGCAATTGTCCAACACTTAACAGATTTTGATTAATCTTAGGAACATACAAAACATCATGAATAATTTTTGTTCCTAGATTAGTCTCAATTGCAACAGAACATTTTCCTTTAACATCAATTAACTCACTGTTTCCAATTTTGACTTTTGAGACAACATCCTTGTTGATTTCACTACAAAGCTCAATATCATATGTCATATGATTGGTGCAGCCACTATCAATCAACCAACTCTCACTTGCATTAGAAGTTGTTGGATATGTTGCCACAAATAACTGGTCATCCTCTTGATCTATAACTTGAGCTTCAACTTGCTTTTTCTGCTCTTGAAATTTGCAAAATTTTGCAATATGACCGAATTGGTTGCATTTGTTGCACTTCACATTTGGCCTTCTCCAGCACTTGAAAGAAGCATGACCTTTCTTTCCACAATGCTGGCATGGTAGATAGCTTGGTTTGCCTCCTGAATCTACTTTCATTATCTTTCTTCCATTTCTTCTTCCCCTTTTCTCTCTAGTTGAGTTGCAACTTTGCCTGCAAAGTCCCTTCAATTGTGCCTTCTTGTCTCATGAGTCTTCTCTGCTCTTGAGCTTATAAAGCACCTAACAGCTTCGCTAAGATAATAGTTGTCATGTCTCTAGAGTTCTCCAAAGAAGAAATTGTGGACTCAAACCTTTCTAGAAGAGTGACAAGAATCTTTTGAGCAATCCTGGAGTCTTTAAATTCCTGACTGAGTAATGTAACTCGATTCATTATGTAGAGAAGTCTATCAGAATACTCCATCACTGTTTCTGATTTCTTCATCCTTTGCATCTCAAACTCCCTAATTAGATTCAATACTTTCATCCCTTTTATCTTCTCATTGTTTTCGTATTCTTGCTTGAGAAAATCCCAGATTTCCTTTCCTAATTTAAACGTCATGATTTTGGTGAAAATTTCTGGTGATACAGCATTAAACAAGTATGTTTTTGCCTTCGATTTTCTTTGCTTCTTCTCCTTATGGTTTTAATCTGTGCCATTGTTGGGTTGTCTAATAAAGGAGGTACTTTATAATCCTCCTCAACAGCTTCCTAAAGATCTGTAGCTTCTAGGTAGGACACCATTCCAATTGACCAAATCTCATAATTCTCACCATTGAAAATTGGTGGTGCAACAGCTGAAAAAGAGGTTTCAGATTGCATTTTTTGATTTTGGTGTAAGCTCTCAATCTCACACATAGTCCCTCAAGAAAACAAGCTTTGATACCAATTTTAAGAATAAGAACAATGATTCAATTGGACTAAAGCATACAACTTTATTGATTCTAACATTTTTTAAATAAAAAAGAAGTCATAACTGAAAATTGCTAAAAATTATTTCTCAAATAAAACTAAAACAAAACAATAACAACTCATAATTCCCTTAGTAATAACAGCCCCTAATTATAGAAAACCAACAACTATAATTGATAAACTTTAATGGTAGATGTTGATGCATATTCTCAGCATAAAGCTTCCAACATGTCTCCTTTGCGTACCAATGGCGCTTGTAGTGGTCACACCACGGTTTCTTGTGTTCTTTTAAGAGGAACCATGGTTTCTAGTGGCTAGGCCAATCCCTCTTGATCTGTAATCTAAGAAATAAACCCTGCCATCCTCTTGTCTTAATTTAGAAAAGACATTTTGAAAGGATGAAAGTGAATGCCGCCCCATGATCCGATCCTTAACATCATCAAAATTTGCATTGATGCCCGCTAGAAACATGAAAATTCTATCAATTTCCTCACATATTTGGATTAAGCCAAATCTTTGGGATTTTACTATTCATCATTATAACATAGGTCAAGTTCCAGGCATAGTGACAACATATTGTTGTAGAATGTTGTTACATCATATTCACCTTGTTTTATTTTCTACAATTGTGTCTTCAATTCAAAGGCTTGTGAATGATTCTTTACATCAGAATATGTCTTGCGAACTGCCTTTCATATCTCTTTGGTAGATACATTATTAGTACATTAAGTTTTTATTAATATATTAATTTATATCTTTTATTTTTTTAAAATATTAATTTTAAATATATTAATTTAAAATATAAATTTATACCCTCCCCTCCAAAACCTCTATTCCCAAACAACCCCTAACTTGGTTGCACCAAAAGCAGAGCATGGTCATGCATATCTTTAGCATGATCATGCATAGTGACAAAGCACTCCTAGGTTGATTGCTAAGTAAGGTCCTACTTCCTATTGTGTATAGTATTGCTTTTAATCAAATTTTCTTCAATTGTAACCAAAATACTTCCTTAATTCACTGATGATTGATTTTTGATAATTTGTATAATTAATTAATAAATTAGTGTAAAATCATTATCAAATAAGGGTCAAGCATATAAGAATAACCCATTAAACACTCCAAAATATTGCCTTATCATTAAGCAAGAACATTTCTATTTTTTTTTCCCAATCCCTCACTATTTCTATGTTTAACCTAGAATGAACACGGTAAGCAAAAAGATTGATTATTCTTAATTATCTTTTAAAGAATTAAATTCTTGATTAGTTCTGATTTTTGCTACTATATAAAATAGGGTTCCACACATTTAAATTCACACACTTTAGAATAAATCACATTATCAAGAGGACATTGAAGACATGCTTTTTAGCAAACAGGACTAAATAATGTGACTTTCTCAAACTTATCCATTAATCATCATCAAAGAGAAGGAGAGAAAAGAAAAAACTTGAAAGTGTTGAGAATACTTCCCTTAGCAACACATTGGGTGCAAATCCAAGTGTGGATCCACCATTAAATTTGTTGATTCTCTCACACTCTTCTTTAGAAATTTCACATTAAATATGTGTGTATTAGTGCTTGTGTAATAATTTTCAAGGTATTTGTGAAGCTTTCTTAATCGAGATAAATAGCAATTGAATTTGAGTCGTTGAACACCTAAAATCAATGATATTCCAAAGAGATCTTACTTCATACATTATGACTTCTTACCCAATTATAAAATGGTATATATAGTGGTCCTTTTTATCAATATTGCATATTAAAATATGCATTAACGGTGGTGGCAAAAATGGCCAAGCCTTTTACAAATAGATAATAATGGTATGGTCTTTGTAAAGTTTTTTATTTGCTTTGGTTGGAAGAAAATTTTTGAGACCCAAATTAATTGTTTTTCTTTCTTCTCAAGAAGAGAAAAATGTCATTTTTCTTACTTTTTTTACTCCTTGTTTTTTTTACCCTCATTCCTTTGTTCTAAATAAAGTATGAGTCTTTTTTTTATTATAAAATTTTGGTAGAAATATATATTTTTTAAAAGTAATATTAAAAAAATTAAAAAAATAAAATATTTAGAAGTTTAATTTTGTTTAAGAATGACATTTTAAAATGAGTTTAGACAAATCAAATTTATTTTTGATGATACAATAGAAATACTTTATGGCCTAGTTTAGGATATAGTTTTTTTAAGAGAAAGGGAGGGAAGGAGAATGTTTATTTGATGACAAACCCTTCAAAAACTTTCTAAGTTTATGGTTTTAAGTTCTCCCATTTTAATTTTTTTTTTATTAAGCTTCCTTCCTTCTCCCTTGTCCTCTCTTACTTTGCTCTTTAAACTTTCTTTTTTTCCTGTTTTCTAAACTTCCAAACAAAACTTTAGGTTGTGTTTAAATAGAGTAATTTTAAATTCTATGTATTTGTATAGTAAAAAAAAAATGTTTAAAATATTAAAAAAATTTAAGTAGATAATTTTTATGTCAAATACAAAAATTTTCAAATGATTTGTATTTAGAGATAATTTTAAAATCCCTCTCTTATACTTTACATTTTATCTTAGTCATTCATAGCTCCTCTCATGCTTTAACTCTCACTTTAAACATTCTTTCATTATTTATTTCATCTGGATTTTAACATTGATCTATGTTATAGATCTTATACCTAGAATCAATTCTAAAGTAAGCCGTGATATAACCTCTCAACAAATAATGCGTGTAGTTAGCTAATTGTGATTTGCAATCGAATCTAGGTGCAAAAACAATGCCTTATGAATGCCCTAAAGTTACAACACTATTTTCAATGCAAAATAAATGTATTTAAAAATAAAGACAAAACCTTATCTATTTGTATGACGTAATCAAAGTATACTAAATATTTATTTAAAAAAGTCTTAAAGAAAGGAGAAATTATATATTTTTTTTCATATAAATGTGAAAGATTTGAATGGCACAGAAGAAGTTAATTAAATTCAAATGATATTTTCCCATCAAATTTTTCTTGACAACTGGCACACAAATTAAAGAGAGATGTTATTGTTGTACCATAAAACAGAGTTAGACAAATATGACATTCACCAACTCCAATCCCCACTCCTCAATTACACATTCACCCTTTAAGTAGAGAAAATCAATGCTTCCTTGCATATACATGCAAACTCTTTTGTAGACTAACTAGATCATTCTATTTCCTTACTAATTTTACTCAAACATAATTAGTTTCTTAATAATTTAGAGGACAGATATAGCATCTGAAGCGATCAGGCTTCCTGCAAGAAAACATCTTGGGCCTTGCTTTTAAGGAAATTTAGAATTACAAAAGCTAGATACCCAACTCTTGTTAGTGCTTGATTACAACTCCTTCAAAAATGCCATCAGACCTGAAGTTAGGTGAGAAGAGTCTTGGATCAACTGGTCCTGGAAGATTAAATGAAAGTGTGAATGGTCCAGAAGAGCATAACAGCTGATTTTTCATCTCAAAAACCCGTGATTGTTTTTTTATAATTCTTCCACCAGTTAGCACCCCTTTGATCTGAACCTTCCCATCTGATTCAATATCACAACGGAACTGACCTGCTGCAAAGTATGATGATAATTCATTTAAAAGAACAATTAAGAAAGATTTTTTATGAAAAACAGGCATGCATGTTAGGTGAGTTATGGATTTATCATTAGATGAAGTTTGCTGGATTATCTAACACAAGAATCAGAGAAAGAGGATGAGACCAGGCTGATCATAGAGTTTAAGGATCCTGAAGCAACATGCATTAGAAAATGGTCATCTTTGCACCATTATCTTTTGCTTTCCCCAGTTTTTCTCTTTCCAACAAACATCAGGTAAAATGAATTCCTGAGGTTGTAATAGGCATCTCACATATCATGTTCTTTTTCGGCACCAGCAATTTTAGAATGTTGTTTATATAGTAAAAGATTGTAATGCATTAAACATCATATTCCTATTAAAAGTATTCCTACACCTCAAACAAGCTGGGGATAGTCGTTCTCAGCAATACAAAGAACATACATGATATACCAGCTCAGATGAACTTCACTACCCAGTCTTATCCTCTTTGTTGAAGGAGCTATTTAACTTTTGCAGCCCACAACATCACTCATAAAATTGCCCAAATAAATGAGTTAGTTACTAATAGAACAGCTATGATTAAAGGAGGCCCATAAGAAAAGCAGGCTACAAAAATGGCTATAGTGCAATGCATAAAAGGGCCATTTTCATTTCTCATAAATTAAATAAAAACCCTTCCAAAAGATAATCAAAGACTGGAAAAAGCAAGCTGAGTAAATAAAAAGAGGAGAAACATACAGTAATCTTTCTTGACCCCTGGTAAGGAAACTCGGAACAGATAGGCTACTTTACTTATACCAATATCCACAACACCAACAGATGGACCAAATAACCCTCTCCTTGCTGTCCCTGTTAAAATAGGATAAGAATCTTGGTCACAGTCATCAGTGTCAGGAACAGAGAGAAGGGGCATCAAGGTAGGCCCATGCCCATCAGATTTGCACATATTCTTCAAAGGATCTCCCTTGGCATTATTTCTTGTACTATAGACATGGGGAAATTCTGGCACTGGTAGAGTATCATCAATATACTTTTGCTTGGGCTCTTCTTGAAACTTTGATGATTGGCATCCACCATTTGGAACTGTCTCTGCCACTTTGTTCATGCAATTACCACCACCAGGCTTGCTTGTTTGCAGGTCAAGTTGAAAACGCAGGCATTCAGTTAGATTTAACTTCAAAGTGCTGGAACCAGTTAAAGACCTGAATCTATTTAAATTCTCCTCTTTGATGCACAGCACGGAAGGATCATCAATTAAAACAACCCCTTTAACTATTCTGAAGCTATCAGGATACCATATCTGATGGTGAAGATCCAATGGGAAAAAACTTGTGAACTGAGGACTATCCTCAGTGAAGTGAGAGGTGGGTAAAAATAATTTTCCCTTTAGATACATATGGAACATATTGAGATCTAAGATAAGTTGAGGAAAAGCATCTCTAAGTAGATAGTAATACAATCTCTCCAAGAAAGAAATGCTAACATAGGAAGGTCCCAAATCACTCAAGGCATAGGGTGGGAATCCATCCTTGCGTCTTTGAATAACAGAACATTTTGGATCATGAGAGTTAACATCAGGTCCCAAGTAAGTAGTAATGATGAAATCAATGAGAAATTTCCGATCACTATCATTATCAGTAACAGACCTTTTGTTATATATATTTCCTTTCGAATCCATGAGTGATGTGGATTCACGTTCACCTGAAAATAGCAGAGAGATTACAGTTGAGGAATATATTAATAATTTGTAATTTCTAATCAAGGAATCAAAATTGTTCACAAAGAAGTTAATATATAATCATAATTATTCCAAAACAAAAATAAAAAACCTAGGTATATAAAATTGAGGGAAAAAATAAAACAACATTAGAGTGAGAAAATGTGAAGTGTAGTATGTGGAGTGATGTCGCTAAGAAGGAGAAACAGTGAGAAGAGTGACTCACAGCAATAGAAAACGCGTTGAAAAGAGAAATTGGAAGCAAGCGACAAAGAGAGTGAATGAGTGAGTACGGCAAATCACAATATTCACTCTCACTTCTTATATGCTGGACTTGCAACTTCTGACATTACTTCATGTGACACAATGTGCTGCAACTTGACCCTTAAGTCTTCAGCTTTTACTTTTTTGTTTGATTATTTTTTAAGGAAAAATTATTTTTAATTATAAACATGCCCAAAAAAATTTTAATTAATGAATTAAGGGTTTTCCATAAAATAAGATATGTGACTGGGTCGGGGTAAGCATATGTTGGAAATGGAGTGCAGAAAATTTTCATGCGGACACAAGGAGGATATATCAACCTTTCCAAGTATAATAATACTTCCTCATCTTTGTCAAACATGGTTCAGAAATACACCAAGGCTGTTCCTCGTCTAAAGGGAAAATACAGGATCAGTGCAATCATAATTAATCATACAAGCATGATTCATTTAACTCCCTCAGGGCACTAACAGTTTCTGCCATTTGCGTCATTTTGTACATGCCTAACCCAGACAATTTCCCTTCTAGAAACAGAAATACAGAGACCTCACACACAGTTCATGTACACACAATTCTCCCTCCCTATATATTACTGCATTACAATGTGCTGGGAAGAAAATTAATGCTGAGATGACTACAGATGAAAATGCTGAAAAGAATGCACACTTGAATTGATTCCCTGAACTCATTTCCTTTCTGGAAAATTATTATCATTCTCTCTAATTTCTTAGGTGATGAAGTAGCTGTGATGATTCTGATCCAGGACTGTAATTCAGCCCATTTATATTCCATTTTGTTTTATTGACTCTTCTTCCTATTAGAAAAGTTACAAACTACGTCGTCATATTGTACTTCTCTACAATCCCACTAGTTGCTGTACTGTTCCATTGAGTTTTTTCCCTTCTCAATATTAATTCAGCCAAGTATTTGCACTTCCATTATCTGTACTCTTACACAATGTTATTCATTTTAATAATATTCATGTTCTGAATTTTTCTAATTATCTTCTCATGTCCTTAGGTTTGCCTAGATTATCTTATCATCTTCACTCTTGGTTTCCTAGTAGGTGGTCTAGGTCTGTCGTGTACACTGTTTAAGAGACATTAACCATATCAATTTCAGACTTTCAGCAAAGTATTTCCATGCACTCCTACTTAAACAGTCATGTATACATAATTCAACCAACAGTCCAGGAAGTTTAAAACATTCTGCACTCAGGTTATATTACTTGCATTCTGCACAAGGGCCTAACTAGACACATTCTGCACAACTTGCTGACCAAATTACATTCTGCTCTAAGTCACACGCCCTGCGTAATTAATTGATCAAGCCATATTCTGCACTAGCTACATATATATATAGTCCAATGGATTAACTAAAACATGTTCTGCACTACACATATAGGTTGCATAATTAGGTAACAAAAACACTTCTGCATTACACACATTTTCTGCATAATCAAATGATCAAGATACATTCTGCATAACACATAGGTTCTGCTTACTTAAATATCCAAAACACATTCTGCATAATCAAGTGAACTAAAGCATTCTGCAGCGCACAGAAATTCTGCATAACTAAGTGAATTAAAGCATTCACCACACACAAATTCCGCATAACTAAGTGAATTAAAGCATTCTGCACCACACGCAAATTCTGCATTAACATGTTTTCTGCATAATTAATTTATTTAAACACATTCTGCATAATTACTGGACTAGCATATTCTGTACTTACACTACATCATCATAGTTTCAGCAAGGAACATCTATCATTACCCTAAACATTGCATTTTCACTATAGCAACTTAATTCTGTGTTGAGATTAATACGATTATTAAAGCCTCATTTACTCAATATCCAATTTAATCCTTTCCATTTTTATTGAGGTTTTCTAAGTTGTCTTGCCCCTCTCTCCTTTTTGGTGATTCCTCTTTCCCTATATTACCTCTCGGTCTCCACACTTGGATGCCTTAAACAGTTACTTATCTCCATTCCTAGGTAGGTCCTAATCCATTACTTCAATATATTGGATTGCCAAATGTTAAATTGTACATTCACAAGGGTTATGGATCTTGGTTACCTATCTCTTGTTTTGGTTTAATCCTATTCATACTACCCTAAGACATAAGTTCTCCCTCTCCTTCCTCTCAGCACCCCTCATTTTTTCTAAAGGGACACTTTAATAATTTATTAACCTCATCATCAATTCTTCATTGTTGACTTTTGGAAACAAGGCCAAGGTACACAACACAGTTCAAGGAAGTTGTATCGCAGTCATTCAGTCCTAGTTCAAGTATGTTTTATTAATATCACAGCTTTTCAAGCATAACATTTTTATGCCATTTATTAGGCAATTTATCCTGCTGGCCGAGACCACCAAGTTGCAAAACAGAGGGGTTCAGCAACGCTCCCTCACATTCACATATAAATCTATGTTTTTAACAAGATTCCAAGGTTGACGAGGCTACCATATTGCAGAAAACATGAAAGATAAGTGATTTTTGAAGGGGCATGCAAACCACATCCATCACACAGCATAATAACACACAAATCTACACATGCATGGCTGATCTAATGTGTTCAAAACAGGGTAATGGACTCACCCTTACACTATTCGTAGTTCTGCGGTGAAGAAGAGGAAATGTGATTAGTTTTTGGTGGTGCGACTTTCTTACTGAGCCTCGGTTCCTTCAACTTTCTTGGAGGTGACCTTGGTTCCTAACAAGAACACGGTTCCTCTGGTCCGTTAGAGCTGAAAATGAGGTGCAGTGAGATGAGAATGGAGTTTTAATTGAAGAAGACTTACCTGCTTCAAGTTCTCTGTTTCCAACAAGGTGAAAACATTCAAGTGAACATGCAGCTGGGTGATCAGCGAGACTTACGAGAAATTTTGAAGTGTCTGTGTGACACAGTGTGCTGCAACTTGACCCTTAAATAATCTTCAGCTTTTATTTCTTTCTTTGAATTTTTTTAAAAAAATTTACTTTTAATTATAAACATGCCCAAACAAAAATTTAATTGATGAATTAGGTTTCATATAAAATAAAATGTATGTGACACATTGTTTTCCCGGTAAAATAAAAAATCAATTTCATAAAAATTATATAATTTTCAATATATAAAGCTTTGTAATTACTTCATACGTCAGAATCAGTAAAAAAACATTAATATATTAGTGATAATGTTGATTGTATAAACTTCTTTTAATTTTAAAAAATTAATTTTAATATTAAATTATATTTGATAAAATTATCATATCCTATAAACATATATAAAAAGTGATAAATTTAAATTAAATTTTTAAGATAAAACTATAAATTTATAATTTTGTTAGAAACTTATTTTTTTAAGAAAATTAACGAGTAATAATTATGATAAATTTTAATTGTATCATAATTTTTTATTATAATTAATTTTTTTATTTGATATATGTGTATTTTTTTACTATAATTAAAATAAAATATAATTATTTTAAATATGTCAAGAAAAATTATTTTATACTTAATTAAACATTAAATTTTAATGTAATTTACAAATTATTTAGTAACTTTCAAGAATATAATTATTCAATATACTATAAATAATAATTAAAATATTATTAAGATATTTTAATATTTAATAGATATAATTTTCAATATTAAATTTTAATTAATTTTACATATAAATATGAATAAATATATAAATTAAAAATTAAATTATTATTTTATTTATATTTTAAATTAGTTACAATGCTCGCGTTGCACATTTTTTTTATTTTTGAAAAAAAATGTTAATATATAACACATGTTAATTATATTAACATAATAATAAATAAATTATATATATATATATATATATATATATTTAAAAAATTTATAAAATAATATAAAAATTAAAAATATATATTACATTAATCAACCTATAAAAATATAACAAGAATTATTATTTTTTTATAAATGTTTATTTAAAACATAATTATATATTTTAATTATAAGATAGTTAATATATTATTTAATAATATTTAATATTATATAAATATTAATAAATTAAATAAATAGAATTATAAATATGGATATAAATAAATAATAGTAAGTGGGGGAAAATTTTTAGTGACTAAATGATATGTTAATTTTTTAAAAATAAACTGTAATATATAAAATATGTTATCCGTCCATATACAATAGTGAATATATATATATATATATATATATATATATATATAAAGAACATATAAGGAAATTAAGAACATATGTTTAAAATTATAACATTTGAATATAATTTACATAAATCAACCTATAAAAATATAACTAAAAGTTTATTATTTTGTTTATTAATGTATATTCAATTCATAATTATATATTTTAATTTGTATAATATTTAATATATTATTTAATACTATTTAATATTATACATATACATTAAAAACATTAAATAAAAATAACTACAAATATAAATATAAATGAAAAATAGTAGTTGAGGAAGAAAATTTGTGAGAAATAAATGATATGATAATTGTGGAAAAAGAAACTTTAATAGATAAAATATGTTAACATACAAATATAATAGTGAATAAATTATATACATATATATTATTTAAAAAATATTGGTAAAATAATAAATGTATATTCAATACATAATTATATATTTTAATTTATAGGATAGTAAATATATTATTTAATACTATTAAATATTTTATTTAATACTATTTGGTTGTAACTTGGCTAAGGGTTGATACAAAAATGGTTTAAATTACCTTCAACTTACTTTAATAACATACTTTTGAAGCTAATTGTTAATATCCCTCTTTCTCTTTTTATATATATATATATATATATATATATATATATATATATATTATAATTTATTTTTAAGAAGAATATTTATCACTTGTCACCCCTTTATTTTTATATTCTTCTTTTACAAATAGATAATAATGATCCCATCTTTCTAAAGTTTTCTTTATTTTGGTGGGAAAAAATTATTTTTCTTTCTTTACAGAATGAGAAATTTTATTTTATTTTTTACTTTTTTTTCTTCTCATTCTTTTTGTACCCTTATTCCTTTTCCTTTGTTTCAAATAAAATATGAATCTTTTTTTATTATAAAATTTTGGTAGAAATATATATTTTTTAAAAATAATGTTAAAAAAATTATTATCCTATTTGAAAGATTTTTTATTATCCTTCCTTCCTTTTTCTCTTATTTCTTGTCTTTTAAATATTTTTTTTAAACTCTCAAACAAAAGTTTAAATCGTATTTAGATAGAATAATTTAAATTTTTTACATTGCATGTATTTGTATAGGGAAAAAAACATGTTTAAAATATTAAAAAAAATAATTATATAATTTTTATGTCAAATAAAAAGAAATTCAAATGTTCTGTGTTGAAAGAGAATTTAAAAAATCTCTATTATAGTTTAGATTTTATATCAATCATTCATAGCTCTTCTCATGCTTCAACTCTCACTTTAATTTAAACATCCTTGCTTCTTTATTGCATCTGGATTATAACATTGATCTATTTTATAGATCTTATACCTAGAATCATTTCTAAAGTAATCCTTGATAAAACCTCTTAACAAATAATGTGTGTAGTTAGCTAGTTGTGATTTGCAATTGAATCTAGGTGCAACAACAAGGCCTTATGAATCTCCTTATGCTATACTCAACACTATTTTCAATGCAAAATATATGTATTTAAAAATAAAGACAAAGGATTATCTATTTGTACGATGTAATCAAAGTATACTAAACATTTAATGAAGTCTTAAAAGAAAGGAGAAAAGAGATTTTTCTCATGTGTAAATGTAAAAGATTTGAATGGCACAGAAGAAGTTAATTAAATTCAAATGATATTTTTTCATCGAATTTTTCTTGACAACTGGCATACAAATTGAAGAGAGATGTTCTTGTTGTTAGCACCCCTTTGATCTGAACCCTCCCATCTAATTCAATATCACAACGGAACTGACCTGGCTGCAGCAAAGTATGATGATAATTCATTTAAAAGAACAATTAAGAAAGAATATTTTATGAAAAACAGGCGTGCATGTTAGGTGAGTTATGGATTTATCATTAGATGAAGTTTGCTGGATTATCTAACACAAGAATGAGACCAGGCAGATCATAGAGTTTAAGGATCCTGAAGCAACATGCATTAGACAATGGTTATATTCTGGAGTGATTGTCATGGCATTAATCGTCATATTCCTATTAAAAGACTTCACCTCAATAGTTGTTCTCAGCAATACCAAAAGCATACATGATATATGGGTCACATGAACTTCACTCCTAGGCTTATCCTCTTTGTTGAAGGGGCTATGTAACTTTTGCAGCCCACAACATCACTCATAAAATTTCCCTAATAAATGAGTTTGTTTTTAATAGAACAACTATGATTAACAGAGGCCCATAAGAAAAGCAGGCTGGCTACAAGCATTCAGTAATTATGCATGACTTTTCATACAAAAAAGGCTATAGTGCAATGCATAGAAGGGCCATTTTCATTTCTCATAAATTAAATAAAAACCCTTCCAAAAGATAATCAAAGACAATAAAAAGACTGGAAAAAGCAGAATAAATAAAAAGAGGAACAACATACAGTAATCTTTTTTGACTCCTGGTAAGGAAACTCGAACAGATAGACTACTTTACTAACCAATATCCACAACACCAACAGATGGACCAAATAACCCTCTCCTTGCTAGTAATACAATCTCTCAAAGAAAGAAATGCTAACATAGGAAGGTCCCAAATCACTCAAGGCATAGGGAGGGAATCCATCCATGTGTCTTTGAATAACAGAACATTTTGGATCATGAGATTTAACACCAGGTCCCAAAGACCCAAGTAAGTAGTAATGATGAAATCAATGAGAAATTTCCTAATAATTTTAGAAATATATTAATAATTTGTAATTTCTAATTAAGGAATCAAAACTCTGCACAAAGAAGTTAATATATATTCATAATTATTCCAAAACAAAAATAAAAAACTAGGTATATAAAATTGAGGGAAAAAAAATAAAATAGCATTAGAGTGAGAAAATGTGTAGTCTAGTGTGTGGAGTGATGTTTCTAAGCAGGAGAAACAGTGAGAAGAGTGACTCACAGCAATAGAAAATGCGTTGAGTAATAAATCTGTATTTTAGCATGTTTTAATAGCTTATATATCAAGGAATGATCGTTAGTTTTGCACCTAGATTATCTTACCATCTTCACTCTGGGTTGCCTACTTGTAATTAGGTGGTCTAGGTCTGTAGTATACACAGTTTAAGGGACTTTAACCATTTCAGTTTCAGCAAAGTATTTCCATGCTTGATTAACAATTAACCATTTCAGCAAAGCTGGACTCTGACTTAAACAGTCATGTATACATAATTAAACCAACAGGAAGTTAAAAATGTTCTGCAGCCAGGTTATATTGCATTCTGCACAAGGGCCTAACTAAGACACATTCTGCACAACTTGCTGACCAACATGTTCTGCACTATATATATATAACCCAATGGATTAACTAAAACACATAGGTTCTGCATACTTAAATATCCAAAACACATTCTGCATAACTAAGTGAATTAAAACATTCTCCAACACACACAAATTCTGTATAACTAAGTGGATTAAAGCATTCTGCACCGCACACAAATTCTGTATAACTAAGTTAACTTGATCAAAACACATTCTGCATTAACATATTTTCTGCATAATTAGTTTAGTTAAATACACTCTGCATTAACATGTTTTCTGCACAGTTAATGGACTAGCATATTCTGCACTTACACTACTATTTTCAGTACAAAACCCGGACTATTTTAATCAATGAATTAAGGATTTTCTTAAAATAAAATATATGTGACAAAATGCTTTGTAATTACTTTGTGCAATCAGTACAAATACATTAATATATTAGTAGTCATGATGTTCGTTCATTGCACAAATTTATTTTAATTTAAAAAAGTTAATTTTAATATATAAATTATATTGGATAAAATTATTATATATTATACAAATATAAAAAAAGTATTAAATTAAAATTAAATTATTAAGATAAAATTATAAATTTATAATTTTAATAAAACTTATTTTTTAAAATTAACACTTAATAATTAAGATAAATATTGATTTTATCTTAATTTTTTATTATATTTAATAATTTTTTAATTTAATATATGTGTACTTTTTACTATAATTAAAAATTACGATTAAAAAAATAAAATATACTTATTTTAAATATGTCAGGATAAATTGTTTTATACTTAATTAGTAATTATATTTTAATATAATTTATAAATCATTAGAGTAACTTTAAAAAATATAATTACTCAATATATCAGTGATAATAATTAAAATATTTTTAAGATATAGTTAATATTTATTAAAATAAATTTTAATAATACATTTTAATTAATTTTACATATAAACTGCATAAAGATAAAGTAAAAAATAAATTATTATTTTATTTATATTTTGAATTAATTACACTGCTCGTGAGCTGCACAAATTTATTTAATTTTTAAAAAATAAGCTTTAATATATAAAATATCTCAATTATACTAATAAATAATGAATATATTATATATATAAATATATATTATTATTTAAATATATATTTAAAATTACAATATTTAAATATAATTTACATAAATTAACCTATAAAAATATAACATAAAAAGAATTATAAATTTGTTTATAAATATATTAAATACATAATTATATATTATAATTTATAAGATAGTTAATAAATTTTTAATACTATTTAATATTATATATATTAAAAAATTAAATAAAAATAACTAGAAATATGTTTATATATGAAACATAGTAGGTGATATACAAAATACGAGGAGGTAAATACATGCATTCACTTACAATAATTTATAACAAACATGTATATCAAACAAAAAATATATTTATATATTATCTTAAAAATATAAAACATATTTAATATTTTTATCTAATAATTAAGAAAATGTTAAACATTAAAAGTAAAAGAATCTAAAATATTCTGAATATTTTGTTTAAGCACAGGAGAATAGTGAAGGGTAGAGGCTTGGGGATGTCACCAGAGAAGAAATAGCAAACACCAGGATAAGTCATCCAATGAGCTGTTTGTGAATATTTTCCTGTACTGGGCGCTGAGTGCTTAGTTCTTCTTGGATGGGATGCATGTAAATAGCATCATTTTTTAACTCAAATTGACCAGTTCGGTTATTTTTTCTTTTCAAAATAACTATTATTTAATACACTACTAAAATTATGAAACAAGCATTTGTTCATTCAAATAATTAATAATAACCAGTTTATAAAATAAAATTTGGGTCAAAATTATTAAATACTATCTAAACAATGAAAGAAAAAAAAATTATATAAACAATTTAAAATTATATAAGAAAATCTTTTGACATAGAAAATCTAGTCCTTCCCACTAGAGGCCAGGGTCTCCAGTGGGTGGGTTTGTTCAGCTCAAACACTGTGGAGGCAGAGAAGAGGCTCAAAGAATGGCAGCAGAGTCACTGAGAGTAACCACTTCATCTCTCTGCCATCTCAATGAATCACAGAGGAGACCAACCCCACTCTCTCCGGTTCGCTTCATGGGTTTTCGCCCTCGACCCTCTCACTCTCTCTGTTCATCTTCTCTTTTGCACTTCTTGGGGAGTTCTCGAATCAACCACAATTCTTCCAATTCACGCCACCTTGCTCCAAGAAGAAGAAACCATTCTGTTTTCGCCTCCCATGTCGAAAGCCACACAACCTTTCACTTAGAGCGGTGTTTTGCAGCGCCGTCCGCCTCTTCCACTTCGATGAAGGGCCAGTACGGTGCCTTCGGTGCCGTTACCTTGGAGAAATCAAAGCTTGATTTAACGCAAAAGCAAACCCAATCCTCCCCCAAGGTAACTCCTTTTTCCTTCTTTTCTTTCACCTGTTTAGGGTTTTCTTCAAAGCTTCCGTTTCTTTTATCATTTTATTTTAGTTTTATCATTTCTTTTATTTTATTTGCCTTTTTCATTTTTGTTTATGGGTGGATAATTAACTTTTACTCTCCAACTGCTTACTACTCGAAATAAGAGGTTATTGAAAATTGAATCATCGTCATTGTAATAGACAATAACAATTTTTGTTTTACTCTTTTTGTTTCTTGTGCTTCATTTGCCTAATAGTGTCTTGCATTATGCTTTGTTAGGGATGAAAAGTGTGTTTGAAAAGCTAGGTTTTACTTGACTGAAGGTGTTTTTGTTGATTGCTACTGTTAACCATATGCTTTTGTAAATGCTTTAAGTTGTTTTAGTTTATTGGATGTCAAATAAGTAGTTTCTACATTTTTACAAATAATTTAGTTTCTTATCCAAGTTTATTAAAAAGCTTTAGGTTACGATAATTAGCTTTTGTTTGATTTGAATTACTATAAATTTACTATCACTATTGAATAAAGTTGAGTTCATTTCTTATTCATTCTCCTCACAATTCTATGAATTTTTTCTTTATTCAATTTTTACTCTTGTGCCATAAAAACTAAGAAAGTGGTATCTGAGCTATCTTCTCACATATCTATGAAAATGGATGTTGAATCAAATATCTCACAAGTTGCTCCCCTTGTCTTGGATGGAGAAAACTCTGATCCTTGGGCTATCAAAATAGAGACTTACCTTGAGACTTTGGATCTTTGGAAAACTGTTGAAGAGGATTACGAAGTTCTTCTGCTCTCGCACTATCTTACCCTGATTCAAATAAAAATTCACAAGGAGAGAAAAACATGGAAGGAAAAGGCAAAATTATGTCTTTTTGCTGGTGTTTTAACAACTATCTTCACCAAGATCACGACTTTAAAAGCAACAAAGCCAATTTGGAATTATCTCAAGGAAGAATATGTCGAAAATGAAAGAATTTGAGGCAACCAAAGTATACTCACGCAGGCTGCTTGACATAGCTAACAAAGTAAGATTACTAAGCATTGAGTTTTCTTATTCTAGAATTATGGAAAATTTTTTGGTAATGGTGCCCAAAAGATTTTAGGCAACAATCACCACTTTAAAAAATCACACTGGTGAAACTGTTAAATGCCTTACAAGCATAAGAACAAAAGCATTGGATGAGACAAGAGGGTGTTGTTGAGAGAGTTACATGTCACTCATCATGAAAATGAAAAATACAAGAAAAAATATTATCCTCCATGTCACCATTGTGGAAAAAATGACCATTTTCCTTTCAAATGTTGGAGGAAGCTTGATACACAATGCAGTAAATACAACCAAATGGGACATGGTGTTATATGCAAAAATAAAAACCAACACTGAGATGAAGAAGCTAAGATTTTTTATTAGGAGGAAGAAGATCATTTATATGTTGCTATTTGTTTCTCAGACTTTAAATCAAATAAAAGTTGGCTAATTGATAGTGGTTGCACTAACCATATGACTAATAACAAAGAGCTTTTTAGAGATTTGATGTCGACCAACATCACAAAAGTCAAAATAGGTATTGGTGATTTCATCACAGTCAAAGGAAATGGGACAATTGTAATAGCAAGCTACTCAAGCATAAAATTAATTCATGATGTTCTTTTGGTCCTGAAATTAATCAAAATTTGTTAAGTGTTGGTCAACTGATTAAAAGAGGATTTAAAGTTATTTTTGAAGACAAACATTGTTTGATTAAATATGAAGTTAATCAAGATATTTTCATGGAGATGACTCCGTACTCCAATTTGGCGGAGGAACTCTAGGACACCTTTGGAGAAATGCACCTTGTGCTGTAGCTAATCAAGTAGCTCTTGAAGCATGTATACAAGCTCAGAATGAGGGACATGATTTTGCTCGTGAAGTTAATGAAATTATCCGTGATGATAGTAAATGGAGTCCTGAATTAGCTACTGCTTGTGAGGTAAAAATGAAAAGAAACAATTTTACTCTAAATCTGTTGGAGGAGGAGCAAACAACTTTCTCAGACAAAGAAAATATCACAACAATTCATCTTGATATCTTGAGTGTTGAAAGTAAGTTTTCTTGTTTCATGTAAAGTGTAAATGAAAGACATCTCAAGGTTACAAAAATGGTGGTTAAATATTTCAAAGACACTCGTAACTCAGGCATCAACTTTAAGCGGAGTGAAAATTTTAAGTTGACTGATTTTTGTAACTATTATCGGAGTGACTCAGTTAATGATTGGAGAAATTTCTTAAGACTAGTGACATTGAATCACGTTCTGTGACAAAAAAGGATGTTATTTAATTCTAATTTGAAACAAAAAGAGAACACAAGATTTTTCCTAACAACAAGTCTAGTTTTTTTTACAAATTTAAATAGCAAAAAAAATAAAAATAAAAATAAAATAGAGTTTGCTGTATAAAAAATAAGAAGTGTTAACAATATGCTTTTGTAACTGCTTTCATTTGTTTTTTGTTGTTTCAGTTTATTGTACCTGTATCTTAGTTAATAAGAGTTTCTATATTTTTTGGAATAATTTAGTTTGTTATCCAAGTTTGTTAAAAATCTTTTAGTTACTTTGTTTCTGTTTTATTTGAATTACCATAAATGTACTGTCACTATGGAATAATGTTGAGTTCATTTCTCATTCATTTTCCTCATAATTCTACACATTTTTCTTTCTTCCTTTTTTACTTTTGTGCCATAAAAACTATAACGGGTATTGAGTCTGAAATGAGATTGGATTGAATATTTTAAAGCGTTACTTATGTTGTTTACATAAAGGATTATCGATTACATATGAGAAATGTCCAGGCTGACTGACTGGTCTTTCCCAATAACACGTTTGCTGTCCATTTTGGCAACATATGTTGTTACTTGAGCCTAGAACCATGTGGTATCTCTAGGCAGCTACCTTAGTTGAATTATTTGTTCCCACTCAATAATTGTTAAGATTATCAAAAGCTTGTAATAGCTCCTGAGAAAACAAGTTTTTTATGATTACGCCAGCTATAATCAGCATCAGCAATAGCATGTACCTATGAAGCATGGACACCTCTCTTGTTTGAGGTGTCATTGTGTCCTACATGTTTCTAACATCGATACTTCTCAAACACTTGTTCGACATGAGTTGCACACTCCTTATTAGGTGTTCAATTAATTTTTTTGACTCGGACACTTGAGCTAACACTTCTATATTTTTTGGCCACCACCTAAACCTACACTACAGTATAGATGGACCCATACTGATATTAACTAAATTTTCAATTTTTTTAACTTTTAATAAACACAAACTTCAAATATAAGGTAAATAGTGCTTATTCTTTTTAGTAGAGCTTGTTATCATAGAAAATAATATAAAACTAGTGTATTGGTTTCATAAGGTTAATCTGATATAATTTTATCTTGTTTGACATTTTTTTACAGAAACCAAGTACTTACATTGTAAAATATCTTAATATTTTTTTGGGAAGCTTATTAATTACTATGTGTGTGTGTATTGTTGTCCTATATTTTTAACATAAGCCATGTCATGTTGAAGTCTGTGCTTTGTAGGCTCATACCAAATTTCTTATTTTGACCACGAAAACTGTTTTGGAGTTTGGAGGGGGAAAGAAGGAAATGATTTGAAGGGTAAGGGAGGAGAGGAGAAGGGAGAAGAAAGGAGAGTTAATAAAAAATCTTCTAAATTGAGAAAATTTAAAAACATAGAATTAGGAGGATTTATAACATAATTGTTAATCTTAGATAGCAGGGTGTAGTGGATGATCCTCAAAACGCTAAAGCAGAATAGCACATAGTGGGATTACTGCTATTTTAAAGTTTTTTATATGGAGATAAAATATATAAATATGCAGGTAATTTTGTATATAATGCTAAAAAAAATGCATAAATAGCATATGAATAATTATCAACAAAAGACAAAGAGAAGAAAGAAAGTGAATTTTCTGAAAGAACACAAGCAGGACTGTAAATCATAGAATAGAAAGAAGAAAGGAAGTAGATTTTGCTAGAGAAGTCATCAAAGATGAGTGGCTCTGCTGGATTGGAGATTGTTGCAAAGCAGAACAGAGATAGAGATGAGAGGAGCTTTGAACAGAGAAGGTGGGGTTTTGTCATGTGTCTCCAGTTGCAAAGCAGATGAGCGGAAGGGGTGTCGAAGAGAGAAAGGAAGAAGAAAACTGCAGGAAAAAGTGAGGTTAGATCTGAAAACTGAGAAGACTATTTTACCCTTAAAAACCTTAAAGACTGTCCATCATAAGGGCAAGTAGGAAAAATCAGTTTGTTTATAAAAGATTAAAAGTTTTTTTTGTCCATAAAACTCTAAAATTACTTTGTTTTGAGGGTAGAAAGTAACTTTCCCTATGGTGGCCCCGTGAAAGGCTGTGTTTTGGGCTGCAAATACAGTTGCGATGGTCATGACAGCAAAAACACTCTGCTATGCCATATCTGTACAGGCCAAAAGCTGCCTTGCCATGCACCACCGCTGTCGCACGCTGTTGACAACTATGGTTTATAAAACCTCTCTCTCATCTAAAAACTCCCAAATAAAGACTATCATGATATGAGGCTTCCCCTTCCCTTCCAAAACCCAACTCTCAAACCAAGCTTAAAAGTTCTTAAAGATAATAATATTATCATTATAGTTTTTTTTTTTTCCTTTAATAGAAAAAAGGATTTCACAGAAAAAAGAGCTGACTGATTAATTAATTCAATTTATCCTTGTTTGATATTCTTGATTATTGGAATGTGTGATTTTTTTTTCTTAGCTAATTTTTGAGCTTTTTGTCTTTAAAAGCCCAATTTCGAACTTCCATTAATATTTAAGTTAGGTGCAATTTTCTGACTGGAAGTTCTAAGAAAGAAAAGGTTTCCATTACTCCTTCTATGTTATCCCCTCAAATTATTAATGTCTAATGAGAAATAGGCTAGACAGTCAATGTGTTATGGTATGCAGGATCCCTTAATGAGAGTACCCTTTTAAGGTTGTTTATTCTGAATGCATAAAACAATGATATTTAGTTTAAGCTCAGTGTCTGGGTTGCGTTACTGTACCTAAACTTTCAGTGTAGTTTGCATGAGATCTATGTTTGTATTGGGTGATCAGCTTTGATTTGTTGAGTTCATTTTTATCTTTATTTGCAAGTTAGTACCTTGAAATTCATTTTCATGCTTTTGTTGGCAGCTAGATGTTGGGGGAGGTGGTGGAGATATTGGAAAAAAAATCAACCATGGTGGTGGTGATGGAGGTGATGATGATGGTGATGATGATGATTACTTTGATGACTTTGATGATGGTGATGAGGGAGATGAGGGTGGCTTGTTTAGGATACGGATACTTCTTGAAGAGGTTAGGTATATCATTTAATAGTATTTTTTTGAAATTTCCCCCTTCTGTAAAACATATACAACCTTTTATTGCTTTAATTTGCATTTCCTAAATAAATGAAATTTATTTTGTCCCTGTTGCAGTTATTTGACCGAAAATTTGTGGATGCTGTGTTAAATGAATGGCAAAGGACTATGATGGATTTGCCTGCTGGGTTTCGGCAAGCTTATGAAATGGTACTGTATTTTTCAGTTGTATTTTCTTTTAGTCTGTGAAGCATACGGCTGCATACTGACTAAAGTTTTGCTTTAAGGGGTTGGTTAGCTCAGCTCAAATGGTAAAATTTCTAGCAATCAATGCTAGGCCAACCACCAGTAGGTTTATTTCCCGAAAACTTCCTCAAGCACCATCGAGGGCTTTCATAGGAAGGTAATTTCAATTATGTCCCTATTGTCTTCCAGAATTTTACACAAATATAAGAAATTTGGAATTTAATACCTCAAATTTCAACCTATGGTTTTTCTTCTGAATCATTAGTTTTCCATTTTTGGTTTAAATACCTTTCTTTATGATAAGCTACAAAAGAGAGGGACAGTTCTCTCTGGAAAAACTTCTCAATGACGGAACCGGAGCTTTAACCTTGTTTTCTGCTTTCCCCTGATAGTATAAGAGGGTTATATCTTTTGCATACATGGAAAGTACATTGTACATCTAATTTTTATGGTCAAATCGGCAGCATGATGAAAATTTATGAAATGAATGCTTTTACTTTTGCTGTTTGAACTTTCTATTTGGAGTGTATGGTTTTATATACTACTATCTCATCATATATAAATCTTTGATTGCACAGGTTGCTTGCAGATCCTGCATTCTTGTATAGGTTTCTATTAGAGGAGGTTGCAACAATAGGATGCTCAGTGTGGTGGGAGTTTAAAAATCGAAAAGATAGGTTTGTTCTGTTTGTTTTTAAATGATTTGGAAGTTTGTCTGGTGTTCTTATGATGAATTAAAGTAATAACTGTTAACTTTAATTTGACTCTAGGATAAAGCAGGAGTGGGATCTTGCACTTATCAATGTGCTCACAGCAGCAACATGCAATGCAGTAGTTGTTTGGTCCCTTGCACCTTGTCGATCATATGGGAACACTTTTCGGTTTGATTTACAAAATACATTGCAGAAGCTTCCTAACAACATATTTGAAAAGAGCTATCCACTTAGGGAATTTGACTTGCAAAAGAGAATTCAGTGCTTTTTGTTCAAGGCTGCTGAGTTGTGCATGGTTGGTTTGAGTGCTGGTGCAGTACAGGGTACATTGTCAAACACTTTGGCAAGGAAAAAGGAAGGAAGGTATACAGGGTTGGAACCCAACTTAAGTTCAATAGCATGTTTGGTCAAATTAGGAGTTCTTAATACTAATTTTTTTTCTTTACATATGTCATGCCTGAATCATCTGCAGATTATCTGTGACAGTCCCAAGTGTAAGCAGCAATGCACTTGGTTACGGTGCTTTCCTTGGAATTTATGCTAACCTGAGATATCAACTGTTATGTGGATTTGATAGCGCGATGATGAGCCATTTTGATGTTATTGGAGTTGCATTGTTCTTTAGCACAGCATTCAGGTATACCTTTTGCGGTACCAAATGAGTTGTTCGTTGGTATTGTTGAATTTGCTTTACCACTTTAGTTTTAGCAAATCTGCCAATAATTTTATATGGCAGAGGAAGAAAGTATTTTGGAGTTTTGATGCGCCTGTTTTTTGAGCATTTTATTCTGAATTGTGTGCAGGGCCTTGAACGTTCAATTAGGAGAAACTTCTAAGCGTGCCTGGCTCGGAGTTGAGGCAGATCCGCTGGCTCAGTCGGATGACCTCTTGAAAGCTTACAACAGGACTTCTGAGAATATAGAAAAGCCGTCCTCAAAATGGTTTATATCAAAAAATGCAGTTGTTTCTGGGCTTGGGCTCCTGGGCATCAAACAAGGGAATGCAGATGGGGCTGGCGCAGAATCTACACCTAAAGCTCGGCGAAAAAGGGTTGTTCGGAAGAAGGTTGCTGCAGGTTCAGCTTAGTTTCTTCTGATGTAAATGCAGTCATCCAATTTTGCTGTTTGCTAGAGTTTGCTACTACTGGAGTGTCCTTGGCGGTTACTGGCTGCTCCCCACTTTAGTGGACCAAGATTTTTCTTCACATTAACTAAAATTTGAGGAGGGTTATGTTTTTAAATTCTTTTTAGGGATTCTTGTATCGATCCTTTGTGTTTTGCTACCTGAATCTGTACTATATATTTTTAATTTTTCAAATAAAGTAGAGCAAGTATTTTTTCTTCCCTTGATCCAAACACCTGACGTCCTTGTAACTTCAATGCAGACTAAAAAATGTAGTTCACATACTCCTCTCCAGTCAATGATCTTCAAGTCATAGATCATGTAATGTCCCCAGCTTATGTTCCGGAGACTCCTAATCATATTGATTATAAAATTCAACTTATGATTTTCGTCCATTTTTTCTTTTTATTTCTGGCAATGAAAACGTAATGATCTACTTAGTTTGCTCATTTTCTATTTTCATTTTACTTGGATTTTAGAAAATATTTTTTTAAAACATTTTTAAAATCTAGCTCAAATTTGAAAAAAAAAAAAAAAACTTGATTTCAACTTTTTATTTAAAAATAAAAAAACTTGAAGATGAGAATAAAAATGTGGTAACATTATTTTAAATATTATTTAATTTTAATTAGGCTTTATTATATTTACTGAATCATAGCTTTGTGCTTTTTCTTTTTCATCCAATGTATTTTTTTTTTTTGCCTGTATTCTTTTTTTTTTTTCACATTTGTTCCTTTTTTGCTTTTCTTTTCTCATTATTTTTTTATTTTTTACTTTTTGAAATACGGTGACAAAGTATTTTACTTTCATCATTTTTGCAAGGTTGGGTATGATTTTTCTTTTTCTTTCCTCTATTCACAAATTTATTTTAATTTTTAGAAAATAAACTTTAATATATAAAATATGTTAACTATACTAATATAATATTGAGTAAATTATATATATAGTTATTTAAAAATATCTGTGAATAAAAATAAAAAATAGAACTAAGAATATATATTTAAAATTACAATATTTAAATATAATTTACATAAATCAACCTATAAAAGTATAACATAAAACAATTATTATTTTGTTTTATAAATGTATAGCAATAGATAATTATGTATTTTAAGGTATAGAATAATAAATATATTATTTAATACTATTTAATATTATATATAAATATTAAATAAAAAATAACTACAAATATGGATATAAATAAAAAATAGTAAGTGTGAAAGAAAATTTATAACGAACGAATGATAGGAAGAGGGTAGTCAAGTGGTATCAGGTGAATTCGATATATCCGCTTAATGGTGACATATGAACTTCATATATCATTACAATAGAAATATAGTTAGCATTTTTATATTTTTAACCTATGCTCACTATTTTGATTATAACTCTTGATGCTGGTGGAGTTTTACATTAATTTTTATTGCGTTTGAAAGTTAACTCAAAAAATTTTGATTTGACATAAATTTAGAGTTCTAAGTTGAAAGTTATGAACATTTAAAGTTACACTATGACGATGTTACAATAATTAGTATCCATTAATAGTTTACAATTAGGATTTGAGTCTAATTATACTTTATAACCCATTTTTTTCTAAATTTTTTAGTTTAGGTTTATTTTAGGGTTAGCTTCTATATAAAGAGAGGTAATTTGAAAAATTAAGGATCCATCTTTTGAACTTCCTTTAAATTTAACATTTTTTGTTAATTTTGATTTTGTGTTAGATTGAGTTCTTTGTTTCTTCTTCCAAATTTATTTTAGTTTTTTCATAAGTTTTTCTAAACTCTCGTTTATGTTTACAATTATGATGGAAGAATAACTTTATAAATCGACCTATGACTTCAATCCCACAATTCTGAGGTAACATTTTCTATTTTAATCAAATTTAAAACATTAAACCTAAAGAAATGTCAATTTTCCTATCTATTTTAATTCTAATTTTTCCTTTTTTCCACTATGTTTTACTTAATTTTATTTCTTTCTATAACATAGAATCATTTACTTTTAAGAATGGTAATCTCTCCTAATTGTCAAAGAAATATAATTATAGACTCATCGTATTTACTTAATATAAATATCTAAATTAATGTTTTCAATTTAATCTCATTTAAATTCATTATAATTCTTTTAACAAATTTTCTAAACAATTTCCTTTAAATTTAAATCTTCATTTAATATGATTATCAAATTAAAAATCAAGAGTATTTTCATTTTTTTCACATCATGGTTGTCATCACTTCATCACTAACAGAATCATATCAAACCAATAATAAATGAGAGATTCAGGGTTCTCTCTTTTTAATTTAATTCAAACTATTCATGAACTCAATATTAACCTCTCTCCTATCCTAGTCCAAACTCTTGAGGATTTGGAAGATGATTGTTCTGACAACTTCAAGAACTTGCTTTTCTCATACCAAACTAGTAGGAATGTTGAAGAGAAAAGAAAAATATACCTATTTAACCATGAAGTTCAAACTCCCTAATGAATCATGAATTAAAACATAATAAACAGATTTTAAGAAAATTTACCTCGAAGAGTTGATGATCCAGAAATCGTGAACCTAAAAGGAATTGAAGTGACAGCCTACTTAGAAATCGACTTGAAGCTTGAATTCAAACACTTACACGCGATGTTTGGATGCTACAAAATAGCGATGAATTATAAAATTGAAGCAATGGACCTCACAGAAATCATTTTGAGATGAAAAAAAACTCTTTACTTGCGCTGTCGTAGGAGATAAGGAGTAGTACAAAAAGTGGTGTAATATAGCCCACAGCAAACTTTCAACAATGCCGCCATTTTCGTTACGGTAATGGATGGGGTAACTGTTAACATTCCTTGGCCAAGTTATTCGAAGAAAAATATCTCCCTACACATAAGTCACTCCACGGTACTTACCCTCTCCGGAACCAAGACCAAAACACAAGCCCAAACACTAGCCTAAAAACAAACCTAACCTCATCGCAATCCATCAAATCCACTAGCCTGCCACCCTTACTTCCAAACCCTACTACCCATACCAATTCCACTTTTCCGAAATCTGGAAATATCAAAAGAATATCAGCAGCAAAAATGCAGATACGAAGGGAGAAAGGTTTATGCTACGCTTGTGATGAGAAGTTCACCCCTCTCATCGGTGTCCTAATAAGCAATACTTGCTGTTACAAATGGATGATGAGGATACTTCAGAGTTGCTCCTTTATCCTCCTCCTGAGATGGAAGATGTGATAGACACTGTGAATCAGAATCGTCATTTGTCGTATAATGCATTAAAAGGTTCCTTTGGCTTGGGAACTATGAAGTTTCAAGGCACAATTAATGGCATGGTGGTTCAGATATTGCTTGATAATGGTAGATCAGATAATTTTTTGCAACCAAGGATTGCAAATTGTCTGAAACTTCCAGTGGAACCTGCTCCTAGTTTCCAAGTCTTGGTGGGAAATGGTAATTCCTTAGTTGCTGAAGGATTGGTGAAATAATGAGAATCACGGAAGGTCCATTGAAGACAACGACTTAAAGGCATTGAAAGGACTTCAAAGACCAATGACAAAAGGCAAGAGCAAAGAGGATAAATAAAAACTTGAAAAAGATTATTGTTGTTCTATTTGAAAGTGAGCTTAATTTGGAGTTAGAAAAGTCCTAGATGATTAAATATATATGTTTAGAGAATTTGGACTCTAATGAGTTTCATTAGGATTTAATTATTATGTTTAGTTTATTTATTTTAATATTAGTCATTATTTATTTTGAGTTTTTATTTAAGATAAAATATTCTTGTTTTATTTAGTTTATTTGAATTTAGGCTTGTTAGTACAAGAAGACCATTAGAGTTTGTGTTAGTATTGATTTACAAGCATTAGACATATATAAGCTCTTATAAACACACTTTTAATTAGTTTTGAATACAAATTGAGATTGAACACTCTTGTGAGAGTGTTTGACTCTAGATTCTTGAGTGAGTCAATTTTCTTTGATTTTATCAAAAGGTCAAGACTCTTGTAGCGATCATTTTTTGGCTTATCAATCTTGCGATTGTAGCTCCATTTTTCATTTTTATTCTATTTTCACTTTTTATTAATTTCTTTCTTATTTCAATTCCTATTTGTACCCTAATAATTTCTTTTTTATTGTATCAAATTCAATTCAAAATTGTTTAATTTGGCAACACAGTTTGTGATTGTCATCATGAAACAACTAAAGGTCAGGGTCCAAGGTCAATTGCTAAAACTTCCTGTGTATCTCTTACCAATTTCTGGTGCTGATTTGGTACTTGGAACTGCATGGCTTGCTACATTGGGCCCTCACATTTCTGATTATAGCAAGTTTATCTTAAAATTTTACACAATATCAATTTGTCACTTTACATGGTGATCATCCTCAATTGCCAGGTCCTGCTCAATTTAATCAACTAAGAAGGATGCATAATACTCATGCTATAGATGAGGCTTTTACCTTGCAGTACAAGCAACAAGATATGCCTCAAGATCAATGGCTTAACTTACTTGATGATATGGAACCAGAATTAGTCATGTTGCTGCATAATTATAGAAGTATTTTTGCTGTGCCTACAGAACTACCTCATTTAAGATCTCATAACCATAACATTCCACTGATAAAGGATGCAAAACTAGTGAAAGTGAGGCTTTATAGATACCCTCACAGTAAAAAATAGCAAATAGAAACTATGGTGCAAGAGATGCTTGCTGCAGGCATTATAGCACCCAGTACCAGCCCATTTTCTTCACCAATTATATTGGTAAAAAAAAAAGATGGAGGTTTTGTATGAATTATAGAGCCTTAAATGCAATCACAATTAAAGATAGCTTTCCAATTCCAATAGTTGATGAACTCACTAATGAGTTATATGGCTCCCATTATTTTTCCAAACTTGACCTAAGATCTGGATACCACCAAATCCTTTTTGCTATTGAGGATAGACATAAAACTGCTTTTAGAACTCACCAAGGCCATTATGAATGGCTAGTTATGCCATTTGGGCTTACTAATGCCCCTACCACATTTTAAATCCTCATAAATGATGTTTTCAAAGAGTTTCTCAAAAAAAATTTCTTGGTATTCTTTGATGATATTTTAGTATATAGTTCTCCTATGATAAAACATCTCCTACACCTTGAATTGGTTCTTCAATTGCTACAACAACACCAGCTATATGCAACACTATCTAAATGTTCATTTGGTTTACAACAAGTGGACTATCTTGGACATACAGTTTTAGGACAAGGAGTGACAATGGATAAAGACAAAGTACAAGCAATTTTACAATGGCCAATACCTGAAAATATTAAACAGTTGCGAGGGTTCCTTAGAATAACTAGTTATTATAGAAAATTTATCAGGTCCTATGCAGTAATTACTGCTCCCCTGACTAATTTGCTTAAGAAGGATAATTTTCTATAGGGAAAGGATGCCAATGAAGCTTTTTCCATGCTCAAACAGGCTATTACACAAGCACTAGTTTTGGCCTTACCTGATTTTTCAAAATCATTCACACTTGAAACAGATGCCTCTGGGGTAGGTAGAGGTGTTGTTTTAAGTCAGCAACAACATCCTATTGCTTATTTTTCCAAAAAGCTTAATGCTAGGATGCAGAGACACTCATCCTTATGCAAGAGAATTTTTTGCTATCACGAAAGCAATAGCTAAATTCAGACATTACCTACTTGGCCATAAGTTTGTTATAAAGACTGATCAAAAGAGTCTCAGATCACTCACTAACCAACATACACCTGAACAACAAAATTGGTTGCACAAGTTGATAAGCTATGACTTCACCATTGAGTATAAACCTTGAAAGGAGAGTGTAGCTGCCGATTCTCTTTTTAGATCCTTCAGGATGGCACTATCTCACCCCAAACTGTAGCTAATTTCATAATTAAGGGAAGCTATTACAAAAGACAATCAATTGTGTGCAATTATGAAACTTTGTTTGCAGAACAAGCCTCCTAATCCTCATTATTCAGTTTGTGATCAATTACCTTATTGACAAGGTAGATTGGTTTTACCAAAGGGACATGATCTGGTGCATAAAATTTTACATGAGCTCCACAATACCTTGTTGGGTGGACACTCAAGATTCACTAGAACATTGCAAAGAATTGCAGCCCAATTTTACTGGCATGGTATGTGTAATGCCCCAGAATTTGTAATAATAATATTTTTTGAGCTATTAATATAAATGTATGTGGATTGCTATGTGTTTCTGTGTTTGAATTATATGGTGATGATGAGTATTGAATGATGGTGTGAATATGTGTGTAAATACATATATATATATATATATATATATATATGTTTGTATGATATGAGCAAAAGATGAATGTGGACTTGAGGTTGGATTGGAAATATAGGCTAGGTGTGTATTATAGAGGTGTTCTCACTATAGTGAGAGGATTCTCACTGTAGCGAGAAGGCCTTGAGAGAAGGTCGTGAGTCTGTTATGCTCTCGCTGCAACGAAAGAGCGACAGAAAGTGATGCATTTCTAGGTGCAGTCTCGCTGTAGCGAGATTCTATAGAAATTAGAATGTAGTTTCCTCTAAGATTTTTGCTGTAGCGAGAGAAGGGTGTCGCTGTAGCGAGAGTGTCGTGACCATAGGGGTATTTGAAGGGTTAGGGTTCAAAAAAATTCATTTCTCACTCTTCTCTTCATCCTTTCTTCGATCCTCTTGACTCTCAACCCTATTTTAGCGTTTAAATTGTCTTCAAAGCCGTTTGGGTATAAAATTAAAGGTTGGAATCATGTTTAGAGCGTTTGGAGGTAAGTTCTAAGAAATGAGTTTTGGTTTTCGTCCCTCTTCCTTGTCCTTTCGGTTTCTCATGGGGATTTCCATGTTTTAGGGACGAAAAATCCGTATGGGGGGCTATTCTATCGTACATTTTGTGTTGGGTCTTCGATTTGAGGTAAAGGGGGACTCTATCCTTTCTCTTTATGCCTAGAATTCATTTGTATGGTTATGGTTGTGAATGTGAATGATTGAAACGTAGGAGGATGTATGTTTTAATAAAAACGATTTGATTGTGGTGAGATTTCGATGGAAAGATTGTGTAGAATATAGTGAAATGAATGTTGAATAGTGTGTATGATGGAATGAATTGATTGGTATGGATTGTGATGGAAAATGTGTTTTACAATGTAATTGACGTTGAATATGATGTGTGATTGAATGGTTGAACCCATTGTGGGCGATTGTATGTGGTTGCATGCCATTGATTGATGATGAATAAAATGAAACGGGTGAAAATATGTGTGGATGGAATGTTGAGTGTGAATATGATTGTGTTTGAAATGTTAGAAAGCTATGAATGGTTCAGCGATACACTGAGAGTGTGGAAGATGAGGGCAGTAGAAATACATTTGGGAAGAGAGGGTGGTAGTGACACCAACAGTGAGCGTGGGTGCACCACGGGTCACACTTTCCTCCTAACTCGGCTTCTGACTAATACCTTTGCTCATAGGGCTCAATACCGCACATGTTGTATCCGTGTAGCGAGGGCTATCTAGAGACTATCCATGGTGTGAAACTGAGTAAGTCCCTGAGGTTGAGGGCGTCAGGAAACTGTGATCATAGTGCCATAGTAAGTGTGGCTAACGTGCAGTAAGCGCACGTGTATGTATGTGGATTGATTGGAGGTGCAGTGAGTGCACCCTTTTGTAAATTGATGTGATTAGCTTTCATGTACAGTGAGCATACGCGTGTAAATGATTGATATGTGCCTTAATGTGCATGTGATTGCGATAAATGATTTAAATTAAATCATGTACTGATTGAAACATGCAAGGTGAGTCTTTGTGCTTGTGTGTAATAGTGTAAAGTACTCACCCTTATGTTTATTTTTCAAGTGATCAAGACGATCAGCACTGGGGTCAGTGAAGGGATGGATGAAACTGTTATAGGACTTAAAAATTTATTTTGAGAACTGTGATGTATTTAAATTAGTCCTATAGCAATGATTTGATTCAAATTTGTAATTCATCCTTATTTTGAAATACTTTACTGAACTATATGCATTGAGAACTATTTAAATGAAAATTTTTATTATTCCCATTTTTGTGAAATTTATTTACTTGAAAATTTAATTAAGGTGTTACAATATGCAGAAAGACATTAAGGAGTTTGTGCAAAATTGTCTAATTTGTCAACAGGCCAAACATGATACAACTATACCATCCAGATTGCTAGAACCATTGCCAATTCCAGATCAAATCTAGGAAGATGTGATCACTGGCCTTCCTTCTTCTAATGGATACACTATCATTATGGTGGTCATTGACAGACTCTCTAAGTATGCTCATTTGGCTAGTTTGAAATTTAACTTTAATAGTAAGCAAGTTGCTAAGTTGTTTATGCAAACCATAGTAAAGTTGCATGGTTTTCCTAAAACTATTGTTTTTTATAGAGATAAGGTGTTCACTAGTCAATTTTGGCAACAACTGTTTGAGTTGAGTACTACTACTTTGAAATTAAGTACTGCATACGATCCTCAAACTGATGGTCAATCTGAAGCTCTGAATAAATTCATTAAAATGTATTTAAGGTGCTTTACTTATGAGAATCTTTCAAGGCCGTTTATGGTAGAGATCCTCCTCAGCTAAGTAAGTATACAGTCAGCAGTCAGGACCCTCCTAGTGTTCAAGAACAACTTGTACAAAGGGATGCAACACTCAGTAGATTGAAGGTGCACTTGCAGAAAGCACACAACATATGAAGAAAAATGCTGATGAAAGAAGAAGGACATTTCAGTTGGCAATTGGTGACATGGTATTGGTGAAACTTCAGCCATATAGACAACACTCAGTGTCATTGCAAAAGAATCAGAAGCTTAGTCTTGGATACTTTGGGCCATTTCCTATAATTGAGAAAATTGGTGCAGTAGCTTACAAAGTTCTTTTGCCTTCTTCTGCAAGAATTCATCTGGTTTTTCATTGTTCTCAGCTAAAATTGTGTAAAGGTGATCATGTTCAGCCATATGTGCCATTGCCCATTACAAATTCAGAGCTCGGACCTGTATTGCATCCCGAAGCTATATTGCAAACCAGAGTCATTATTAGGAACCAGCAACAACTAATCAAGTGGGAGGGCTTAGAAGACACTCAAGCAACTTGGGAGGATATTGCTGCTATCACGCAAGCTTTTCCTTATCTCAACCTTGAGGACAAGGTTTCTTTTAAAGGGGAAGGTAGTATAACAAGTATAGCTAATGTGACGAGTATAGCTGCTGCAAAGGGGATTAAGGAGGAAAATAGTGGGACCAAGGCAACAAGACACGTGGCAAATGATGAGGGAATAAGGCGTAGCACTCGACCCAAAATAACTAATTCCAAGTTGGTTTATTTTGTGTGGTCCAAAAGCTAATAAGTAGCACTAGCATAAGAGTGAGGAACATGAAAATTGTGAGGTTATTTCTCTTCTTCAGGTGAATCTGAACATTCTCTGTACTTCTTTTCTGCAAATTCTATTTTCAATTGCACTCTTGCAAAGTTTATTTCATAAAAAACCTTTGTTGTTATTCAACGAGAATTCCGTTTCCTTCCTTGTTCCTTACGGTACCATCTTGTTACATAATGCTACTATATTATCAAATTACTTTTTCTTTTTTGGTCTTCATTCAATTCATATGCAATCCTTGTAAATTTTCAACGCAAATGATGCTAAATATACGAAATTCGGGTGTTGCTTTCTTTTGTTTTTCTTTTCTACTTTTTCTGTATATTATCAAAATGAAAAAGAACTAATTCAATTATGCAATCTAAAAAATCATTGGGTTGGTCAGTTTGACTTGGCATGAAAAAAATAACAATATCAAACCAACCTAAGCTGATAGATTTTAATTGGTTTAGACCCGAGTTTGGCATATACTTAGCCCGATTAAACTAATAAAGCGGTAAAAATTTAATTTTCTTTTTTACATAAAAAATCGCTTTGATGTTTGGTAAATTAAAATAACTTTATAAGGTACATTAAAATATATATATATATATATATATATATATATATATATATATCTTAAGCACTTATTTAATAAACATATTTTACACGAGAGTTTGTCATAATTTAACAATAAAACTCAGTGAAATTAGTTAAAAAGAACTTGTGAATCATAACTTCTTATTGTGAAAAAAACATACTTTTTCAAGAAACGACCTTGCATTATCGAAGAGGGAGATAAATATTACACATTATTGGGCAGAAAAAAAAGAACTATACAATGAAATAAATTCACTTGACTTTACTTATAGGTTTTTGTTTTCTTGATGATTAGCTATACATAAATTATGTAATTTGTACATGTAAGCTAATTGCTAGATATTATGTTATAAACTACAATATGTCCCTGGAGAGGGAGACTAATGAAGGGCTTGCTTACAAAGCATAAACCGACAATAAGGTAAAAAAGCTTTTCACCTATTTTAAGTCAGTTCTTCGCATGATTCCATAATCTGCCATCAGTCTAGAAGAGCCAATACCTTTTTCTTGGTACTCTAGAAGGAACATCTGCAAATTCATTGAACAAACAAAAGATAAGCTTATTGTTTCACAGCACTTCTGAAGCCATAAAGAGAATATGGACGTAGCAATAAGTTATCACCTCCGCTTGCATACAATGAGTTATAATGCACTTCACTCCAAAAGCTTAGCCATAATTCTACAGTTCACAAAAGAATCATAACCACATTACAACTCAAAGAAATATAAAACTGGGAATTACCAATAAACTAAAAACTATGATCTTTTCTTTAACTTTATGCTCTGACTTTTATTATATAATCATTAAAAAACACAATTCATCCAATAGCGAAGCTATTTGAGAATTGAAGAATGCTTTTAATTTAGGAAAAATGTTTAATGTCACTCTACTAAAATAATAATCTTTATTTAAAATACATATTTTTTAATTAATAAATCTAATAAATTAAAAAAAATGTTATAAATTTTACTTAAATAGCAGTGACAATAAACACATTACAGTAGAAATAGACATTTCCTAATTTAAGATCTCTTAAATTCTTTTGAGATAAACACCGTTATTAATATAATTATATTATTATGAGACTAACAGAGAGATGGAATATTAAATATATTATCTTTATCATATTTTGTTTATCGCTATCCCAAGCTCTCTTTAGGATAAATTTTCCATTATAGAAGAGAAATAATAGGATAAGCCTATAGGATATTATTATTACATCTTGCTAGTAAAATAAACGTCAAAAACAGGATATTATACATAAAGTTATTCTATCTTATTTTCTTATTAATCCATCAAATGAAACCTAAATAAAGGAAGAATCATGTAAATTTAGATCCTATGAAAATTAATTCCAAGTTATGTGAAAAATTATTTAATAGCACCTTTAACATTAATAATTTTTTGTTTTCCCTTTTAATTTTTGGCTTTTTTACTAATTATTAATTTTAAAACTATTTATTGAAAAAAATACTAATAAACTATTTACTAGAATGAGATTTTTTGAGTGTGTCAAGCGTCAACCATGTGAAGTAATCTTCACCTTATGAGTTAGTTTTTGAAGTTTAGTTAGGCTTAAAGCTTAAATTCAACATGATATCAAAGTTCATTGTAATCCAATAATGGGCCACCCTTAACTATAAAATAAAAAATCTAACTCCACTAATAACTATAAAATGAAAACCTAATTCCACGAATTTTTCCAATACAGTTAACCTTGCCTCATGGATTTTCTAGTGCAACTTACCTAGTCTTGTGACTTATCCAGTGCTATATTAAAAAATAATTCTACAATTTTCATACTCTAAATGTCTAATTTTAAGTATGAGTAAGTGTCTTGAAAACTCTCATTGACTATAAATATGGTTGAATAAGAGATTCTATATGCCAAAGCAATCTTCATTTCATAAGCTAGCTTTTGGGTTGAGTCTAGTTTAGAGTTTAAATTCAACAATAATATTATTAAATATCCTTAAAGTCTAAAAAATTTTATAACTGCGTTTCTCTGAAAAAATTTTCAATAATTAAATAAATTAAATGGACAAACATAGAAATTTTATAAATGTGTTTTTGATCTCTAAATTAAATAAATTAAATGAACAAATATCAGGATGGTTACCAAACTATCCTAAATTAGGTAAAAGTTTATTGCTGAGTTTACACCAAGTAAAAACTACCAGACATGTTGAAGAAAGAGAGGGTGTTACACATGTAGCTTTGACTTCTTCAAACGTTTGACATGTGCAAAATAACCTTATTCTGGTAAATAATTTTTTATTAATATTATTTTGATAAATAGTTTTAAAATTAATATTAGTATGGTCAAATGGCCTTCAAATTCGCTCCAGTCTTGACCTTTTGTGAAGATGGAAATTCGCTTTCCCTAATTGGATAACTTCTTCACAGGCAACACATCTATAATAATAGTTCACACAATGGTGTGAACTATTATTATAGCAGTCAAGAGACTTACGGAATTCATTGCACACTGACTGACAGAATAAATTACACTTTAGACATGCTATGAAACAAAGAAACATCAACAATACTTGCCTCTGGTGGGAGTTTTGTCCGTTGGAAGGATCTCGATATAGCAAGTGTCTCTGAAAGAGGTGACTAAACAAATTTTTGCATCAAACTGAAGAAAAAACCACGAGCAGTCATAAAACTATTTTAACAATAAACAGAAAAGAAAAGTATGGAAATGTTAAATAAATAAATAAATGTAGAAGTTAAAATAGAGCAATAGAAAGTGAACACAAGATGAGCACCCTAAGAGTGCGAAATTACAACAAAGGAAGGTAACATATTGTTATGACACAAGTCCGTGAGGAGAGGCCAACCCAAAACATGAGCCTTGCTGGGTGGAAGAGCCTCATGGCTTGTAGATGTTACATTGAGCTTATAGAAACTGGGTCAGAAACTAGAATTAAAGATTTTACTGAACATATCCCTGATTCCTAATCCCATATCAATTACTAGGAATGAATTACTAGGAATTCAAGAGCCTGGTCTCACCCACTCAAAACTAATTCTCACCAACTAACTATTTTCCTGTATTATCAGAGCCTCTATTTATAACAGCCTAACTAATTAAATATTCTAACAGGTTATAAGGCCCACTCTCTACTGACAAGGCCTGTCTAACAGGGCCAATCCTAATATAAGCTTCCTTATGTACTCAATGTGGGACTTGATAAATTTTATCCTTAAAAAAAATTATAAGAAAACAGTGAGCCTAATAGGCTTAAAATTGCAACAAAGCTGTTAAAATCTCTGTGTACTAAAAAACTACAGGGAGATTGTTGGGTAACCCACATTAGTAGTTACAATGTTAATTACTCATTTGTAGTTAGTGACAATATGTTAGTTAGTTAGCTTGACATAGTTAATTAGGCATGTTTTCTGTTGAGAAAGAATAATGAGAAACATAGGATAAATCAATGTATCTTGACTACATAGCAGAGCATCTATTTATAATAGGAATCATAATACAAAATATACAATTTCTTGATTACCATAAATACAAAGATTCTAATTTCCCTATTTACAACATTGCTATAATTACATAATTCCAACATTGTCTATAAATAAGTAGAAGGGATTGAGGATGAGGATCTTGTCAATTTTAAGAGAATTCCTTTTGATTGGGAGAGGAGCAGTCTGTCGAAGAACTGCAGTGTTCTATCCTTGTAATTGGGGTTCATCCCTTATTCTTCTTAATAAGATACCCAGTTTCAATCAATGGAAATGAAATCTTGAAGATGATTCCAACATTTGATAGTGAGCAGACTTATTGGTGGCTGATTAATGTAGCGCAGTATTTTGAGGCCACTAGAGTGCCAAAAGAGGAGAAAAGAGGAGAAGCCATCTTGGGCTGTAACAGCTTTGAGAGGTGTTGTTGTCAATTGGTGGCTTTGTTAGAAACAATGTAATGAAAAGGCAAATTGGTGGACCATTGTGAAGACTGCTCGAGATTATTTGCATCTATTGAGGATGAGAAACACGAATCTTGGATGCAAGAAAGCAGGAAAGAAGATGAAGATCTAGAAAGAAAAGAACTAGAAAAGCTTGGAGACTAAAAACAAATGATGAAAAATATGTAATTGTCCAAGAAAATGAACAAAAATCATGGAAATCAGAAATCTTAGAATCAAAGACAAGGAAAGAGGAGGAAATTCAGAGGGAACTAGTTCACATTTTGCATAAAGAACAAAAAATGGAAGAACAACTAGTTGAAATAGATAGACAATCGAGTGTAGTGAGGTCTGAAAACAAGTTTTCTTCTGTGAAAGGAGACCATCTTTTCAGTTATAAGATGCAGAAACACATGCGGCATCATTTGGGAAATAAAGAAAGGATGACAACAGACAGTGATTTTCCCAGAAATAATTGGGTTCTCAAGAGTCAATACACTTGCAGAGGCAATGATACTTTGTTTCAGGGCTAAAAATATTAAAGAAAACAAAACATTGAAGGACATTGATTGCTGTCACTTGTTTGTGTTTGACCCAAGAGGGCTTGAGACTATTTTGGGACAGCAGTAGTGTAATTGACTTGATCATCATGCTTCAATTAGTTGGAACTCCAATGGAACTTTCTTTGCAACTGCCACAGCTACTCACCTTGAGAACAAGGTGAAACTTTGGGGAGAAAGTATTGTTAGGTAACTCCAATTTGTAATTAGTTATGATATGTTAGCTAGGGAGTCATTAATAGTAGTTACAATATATTAATTAGTTAGGCTGAATAAGTTAGTTGTTAGGCAGGCTAAGATTGTAGAAGAAATATGACATATTGCCCTTAAAATAAGAGGAATTTCAGAAAGAGATCATTAGGTCATCTGTGGAAGGATTAGAATCTTTAGGCATTGGGAGAGAACAACATGTCTCGAATACCCTGAGTTGTACAAGAGAATAATACACATTTTGTCTCTTCATCTATTTTCTCTGTTGCTTTCTTTGTGTTGATCTAGTTCTATCAGAGATTCTCAAATTATTAACCATATACAACTATTGTAGTTCTACATCAACCATAGATATGGCTAAATAAAAGATTATAAAGGTTAAAACAATCCTCAGCTTAAGGGCTAGATTTTGAGGTTGAGTTAGGCTTAAAGTTCAAATTCAATAGGTAATTAACCTAGCCCCGTGGATTTTTCAGTGCAACTTACTTGGTCCTACAGCTTTCCCAGTGCTTCTTACCTAGTCTTGCAGCTTATCTAGTACTCCCTCCGGTCCTTTTTATAAGAAACAAAAGACTAAATTTTCAGGACCAAGGAAAGCAAATAAGTCACTTATGTTTTCCATAAATATAAACTTTATTCCAAAAATACCCATAATATTAAATGTTATAGTTAGTAATTTGTAGAATTAATTATACTAATAAAAGAAGGGTATAAAAGAAATTTAAAAATTAATGCTTCTTGAATCTATCATTCCTTTCTTACAAAAAAGACCAAGAAAATGCTCTATTTTGTTTCTTATAAAAAGGACTGGAAGGAGTACTATATTAAAAAAAAGTAATATAGTTTTCATGCTCTTGATGTCCAATCTTGAGTGTGAGAAAGTTTGTCGAAGTCTCACATTGATTATAGATATGACTAAATAAATATTGTAAAATTTAAAGCAATCCTCACCTTACAAGCTAGCTTTTGGGATTGAGTTAGGCTTAAAGCCCATATTGAACAACAAAATTGATCCCCTTTCTTTTGGCTAATTGATGTTACTATATAATTTTTGTGGAAGGGATGTATGGAAAAAAGAATTAACGGTTACAAGGTTAGGTGTATCCCAAAATTACTATTTAGATTCCAGAGTTGATGTTTGCTAAATCATGTAACTCACGTGTACTATTATTAAGGCTGAAACCTCTGAATTATCCAGAAGAACATACTACAATTTATAGTAATACCCAATAGACTAGCTTTCCTCAAGAAAAAATATTACAGGTGATCAAAAATTTGTATCATGAATTTGATGTGTCAATTGTCCTTGATCAAGAATTCAGCTCAACCTGATTTTTTTTTAAATGAAAAGATTAATTGAAGAGAAAATTGGCCTACAATCTTTTTGGCAATAAGGGCATCCTAGAGTTACTCTAGTTTCCCCTGGGAACCTGAGAAGGCAGGAATCAGCTCATGGATAGGAATCTCTTTCTTCCCATTGCTATCCAATTATGGAGGAGGAAGGTAGCACTTTAAAGCCATACTTCCCAAGAAGTAAGAATTATAAGCAATGATAGAGTTGATGATTCTGAGAATGGGCCAGGACAAGAAGTAGACTAGTCTATGGACCTGGTGTTGGACCCAAGTCCTTGGAAATCCACTGAGTAGAAAGTATATTCCAAAAGATACACTTTGATTGCATATAAGTAGGTAGAAGATACAAGCTATTGATGTAATGTCTTTTCACACCAACGAACTTTTTGATTCGGCATCCCATAATTATGGTCTTTATTTTGTCTAGGTATATCACTGTCCTATTGATTGTATAACATAGTCCTTAGAATGACAAATTGACAACAAACATGTATTTCACGGGGGGTGGGGAATATGAAGCCTGTAATATCAGATAAAGCAGAGATCAAAAGTGCTTAGATAACTCACACGGTCTGCAGCTGCTTGTAGCGTAACATGATCTCCCCACTCCCCTGATCTATTGGCAGACAATATGCAAAATTGAATTAGTGTTTACCATCAGTACCAAATGTTCTCTAAAATCAAAGCAAAATTAATCACCAACTGATATCTAACTTTTTCATCTTCTTCAAGTAGCTTTTGTACTCCATCGGTACATAACCTTCATACAATTTTTTGTGATGTTTTAGCTGGGGAAAACAACAGAAGCCAAACAAGAAAAGATAAATAAGAATATAAAATTAGTTGAGAAACAGACTTTAATGTATCCCACTTAGAAATCAGAATACTATTGAACATCGAATTAAACATCGTCCAACTGTGACACGTAAATAACATGAAGTAAGGAAAAGAAGGTGAGGAGTGCCAGCATTTCACTTTAAAAATAGCCAAAGAAGTGCATTGAAGGACTGTTACAAACACACCTGCTTGATAGCCTGCCTCCTTACGTGCTTGTGGTAATCAGGATTGCGGAACAACTGATCTGCTAAAGCTCGAAACTGTCCAGTAAGATTTTATAGATGTTAAGCAAAATATATCAACTGAAAGGAATATTAAGAAAATTATCAAATAAAAGGAAAAATGGAAGCTGGCATATTATTCTTTTTTCAAAAAAGGAAGAAAACCTGGCAATTCCCGTCACCCTCCATCTGTAATTCTGCCAAACTATATGTAACTAACCTGTAGAAAATGATGGAACATAATTATTTCGTTAAACAAAATACCTTATGCATAAAGAAAACAAATAATTGTGCTTCATGTCAATAATGCTCTGTACCATGCTTCTAAAGTCTAAACTATTATCATTGACATAATTATAACTCTATGACACAAAGTTCTCAATCAGGTTATAACTTGAATTCAACTTTATCTTCCTCTTTAAAAAATGTGAAAAGAAATGTAAGAACTTCAAGGAAATTGAAAAATAAAATATTATAGAATTCTCAAATAGCATAGTATCTATCCTCCTCATTACAACATGAATAAGGTTGAGGAGATTGAACATGTCTCCTTTTCTAAACATAATAACCTGATTAAATTTCAATATGCAAAGTCTACAAGCAGGGCAATATTGAATTTCATTCAAAAGACAAACACAACTATGCAAATAAAACAGTTAATTGATGTAGTAATAAAACTAAATTAATATAACTGTACATTAAGCTAGTTTATGCAACCTTTCAGACAGCCTCTCATGGTCTAGCGTTGCATCATTTACATCAGGAATTTCTCCATTAACACGGGGAGTGTGCTGCCAACATACTGAATTAGTATTCTCATTCCAATGCAGATAATAGTATACAAATAGGAGAAAAAGCATAAAAAGGGTTAGGTAAGTATGAATAATGCATATCAATTACAATCATTTCTGGATATTAGTTATGAATGCCCCAGTGGCAATTGATATATAAAGCTTTCCACAAACTGTGAATCTGTAATGGCATCTTTTTTAAGTTTAAATTTTCAGCAAGCTATATTTGCATAGAACAGCTTCCCTTCATTGCAACCAATAAGGAACTATAAGATGTTAAGGGTCACGAAGGTAGTTTGTTCACAGTATGTGCCTATGGTCCAAACCCAACCAGGGAATGGTTCATGTCACCTTCCTAGCATGTTTCACGTTAACAGGTTCCACAACACTCCTGAAATTGGTGCCACAAACTACATTTTGCAAAATATTCCTTCTGCTCAGCTAACATCCAGCTTGCATTGTCAAAGCATCTACTCCAAAATTTGATAAGACTTTATTCATTAGTTTTCTCATGGTTAAGAAAACCAAAAAGGAAAATTTAACCATCATGTTTTGGTCTATACATACCTTAGGTTGTGTTTGGATGAGTTAATTAAAAAATTTAGAGAATTTGAAATTTAAAAGAAATTTAAATTACATCATTTAAATTTCTATTATTTTAAAATATTTTGTTTGATAAAATAATTGGATTTCTTTCATTTCAAATGTTTTTGTTTGAAGAGGGTAATTAAATTACATTCTTAAAAGAAATAAAATTATCAATAGATTTGAAAAAATTAATTAAAAATATGAAACTTAAATTATTAAATTAACCATAACTAAATAAAAATATGAATGAAACATACAATAAATTAAATAAAAAAAAAAACAATTCCTAATTCTCACTCTTTTGTCGGGAATTAGAATTCTTTAATTTTAGTCTATTAAAATTCCTCACTAAAATTCTTAGAATTTGAAATTCTTTAAAATTAAATATCCAAACTACAAATTTTAATCCATAGAACTGTAAATTCTTTTAAAAAATGAATTACCTACTCGAAATATCTCATCCAAACACACTCTTAAGACTTTGTTTGAGAGTTTGGAGGAAAGAAAAAGAAAGTGTTCGAAGGGTAAGGACTAAGGGGAATAGGGAAAAGAAGGAAGGGGATTAATACAAAACCTCCCAATTTGGAAAACTTAAGAAAGTCAGATTAGAAGGATTTTGGAAGGTTTATACACCTTCATCCTCTCATCTAAAAACTTCACCTTTCCTCCCTCCTCCCCTACCCCCCCTCCAAACCAGCTCCCAAACAAAGTCTAAGTATGTAATAGGTTCCACATTCAATCTACAAATTAATTAGCTTTTGAGAATATATGCATTAGACATTTTAGTCTCTAAAATTTTAATCATTTGTCTGTTCTTGATCATACCAAATGTCATATATTTTTATCAGTTCAGCATTCTTTTTAGTACAAAATAAAACATAAAATAAGTAGAATAAAATCTAAAATGAATGATTTCTCTCAAAATTAGGACCAATCAAGGACTTATAAAATTCCAGAGATAAAAATATCTGACTATATAATCTCAAGAACGAACAAGAATGAATGTAGGAGTCCACTAGAAAAATAGTATTAGGAGGGGTTCCCCACCTTATGCACCTGACCCTATCTCGTGATATTAATTTCTCATTTATCTTATACTTTATGAAATTAAAAGAAAAAAAAAATAGAAGCAAGAGTGGCTATGACAATAGGAAAATGTTATCTCAAGTTTAAGCATCTAATACTAGTAAGTTTTTATTAAAAATGAAAATATTGATTATGCTTTCGCAACTCCAATGTAATAAATGTTTTCTCTAAAAAAAGAAGTTGCTACTTTGAATGCTTAAACTCGGTCCGAAAGGAGGTTAACAAAACCAATAATAATAACAACAAAACTTAGGTCCAGTTAGTTAGACGATGTTTCCTAATCAAATTTAGAGGTTTACCCCAGCAATATGCAATAACATTAAATGCAAACTTTTAATTAAAGTAAATCTCTGATTTTAATTAATAAACATCGCGTAAAGAATAACACATCCTAATAATAAGGCACATTCTAATACCGGAATGGAATCTAAATGGGAAAGTCGTTTTCCAAGCTTGTTCTCCGCTTTGAGATTTTCATCCTCAGCCAATATCCTAGCAATAGTTTGGTCGTCCTCTGTATCATGAGAGATGCTGTTCAAACTTGAGCTCGAGCTGCCACTTCCATTCCTCCGCTTCTCGCTCATACTCGCTCTAAACCAATAAATCACCTTCAAAGTAAAATTCCAAAAACTTCAACGATCAATAATCAATCGTGTGTTTATACAATCAAACACAGACTAATTTAGTGCAGAAAAAAAAAAAACAGAACAAATTAATTTTGATAAAGAAATTCCAGAAAACAAAAGGAATTCTTCGTTCTAATTTTGGAACAACAATTCCATTCGCTTTCTCTTTCATCCAACGAAAATTATGGAAAAAAAGGACAAACGGAAGCCAAGCCCAATTGTTTAAAATGAAAAATTGAAATTCAGAACAAAAAAATGGAAACCAAAACCTTGCTTTCGCAGCGATGCGGAAGGAAAACTTGAATTGCTTTGGATTTACGAATGGCCCAGTCACGTGCGTTGATTTGTAAGGTAAAGGAAACGGAGAAGAAACAACAAATGAGAGTCTTGGAGGGAGTTAGAATAGAAGAAGCAAAGGAAAGGAGTTGTAGTGAAGGAGGAAACAATTGAGTTGGTTTGGGAAAAGAAAAGTACCAAACTTCATTCCAAGTATTATAGTTATTTTTTGGAGTTATCGTCACGTTAAAATTAGAATTTTATTTCGATTTAAGTATTATTAGGTGTGAAATTTAAATTATTTAGTATTTTTTATAAATTATATGATTATTAATTCAATAATAAAATTATTTTATATTATTTTTCTAGAAATTTATATTATTTTTATAATTATATATTAAATTTTATATGATTTAATATTTTTTATATTTAAAAATATTATTATATGATAAAATAATACAACCAAATTTTTGTTAATTTTATTTTCATGATATGCTTGGAGTTGTGTTTAGAAGAAAGAGACGAGAAATTAACCTTTGTTTATGAGTTATTTAGTTACAAGATAAAAAGTTTTAGAATTTTTCTAAACTTTAAAGAGCATGTTAATGTCTTTGGTTTCTTGTCGGTTTTCTTTTACGGGATTCTAACTTTTTTTCAATGTTAAGTTTTTAAATAAAAATTTTTTAAAAAATTTATAAAAAATAAAAATATTAATTTTTTAAAAAATATATTAATTTTTTATTTTTATAAAAAATTAAAAAATATATAAATAAAAATATTATTTATATAATTAAACTCTATTTTTTTCTTTTAATATTAAATATTTAAATAAAAGAATTTAACTTTTTTTTCTTTTTTATTTTATTCTCTTTTTAAGTATTTTTATAAATTCTATTATTTATTAATATAAAATTAATTATCAGATTATTTTACATACAAGAGAGAATATCAAGTCCTCTCCGTTATTCAGTCTACAGTAAATTTTACCGTATTTTTATACAAACTTTAAATTAATTAATTCCATATTCTATTTACGAAAGAAAAGCCTACACGCTTGAGTTGCGTTAGGTTGAGCTCGCCACCGGTCTCTTTTGAACGTAACTATTCAACCTTTTTCAATTTGACCAAATGTTTATGTCAAGTGGACAACATCAAACCGTGAAATTTTCAAAAAGAAATCTAGAAGTTCATTATCATGTAATCATTTCAAGACAGTTCTGCCCTATGACTTGATCAACTGTTAGAAAAACATTTATTTTCAAAAAAATATTATTTCTTTTAAAATTAATATTAATTAAAAAATTAATTTTTTATTAAAAGGTATAAAAATATACTCTCTACAAAATTTTCAATATACCTTTAATGTGACTTTTAAGTAAAAAAAAAAATTATGTATTTAGTAGTTAGTGAAGGCCCACATTTTAAATTTTAATTTTTGGTTGGAAATTACAAACTTAATTCCATGAAAAGCTTTGCAGCATCTACACCATTTTGTATTTATAATAAGAACTTCAATTTTTTTAAAGTATTTATATTTTTACGGACTTTTATTTTAATTTCTTTTAAACTTTTTTTATTTTTATAATATAGATATTTTGATTGTTCCCACTAATATATTAACATGAGACAGCTTTTTAATTAGTCACATTATTGTTTAGTAATTATAAAGAATTAAAAATACTAATTTTTTTTAAAATAGTCTTAAATTATTAATTTTAAAAAAATATATCATAAAAATATAGGAATTGATATATATTTAAATTTATGACAAGTATATAGAATAAGCAAATACAAAAATTATCGTAATGACTATAAACAACTTGTTATTGATTTGTTAAGTTGAGAATAGTGAATAAAAAGAAGGTGAATTAGAGTATGTTTGATTTCTCTTTTAAAAATAGTTTTTATTTTTTTAATATAGTATAAATTTATATTATATTTAAAAAAATTAATTTTTTTTTAAAAGTACCTTTAGTTTTTAGTCTCCTTATGTTACATTACATTTGTGACCTTTTAATAAATAAATATTTAGATGATGTAATGAAATATTTTTAAAAAAAAATGATTTTATGGTATAATTAAATTAATAGTTTATTTTAAAATGTTAAACTATCCAAGTTTAAGTTATAAAGTTTGTGAACATATTATTTTGTTACAATAATCACAAAATAAGAACAGAAATATGAAATGCATAAAACTAAAAATATAAATGAATTTACTTATTTTTATTGAAGCATATATATATATATATATATATATATATATATAGTTTATTTAATAAAAGTAACATTGTTTACTTATTTTCATGACAATTTTTATTTTTATTATTTTTAAGTAATTATTTCGTCAATTTCTTAAACTCTATTTACTTTAATTTTGTTACATTAAAGGGAAAGTAAATATATCACAAACAATTAATAAATAAATAAATATCACAACATTCATTAAATCTTACTTTTTTAGAGTAAAATATTTATAAATGAGAGTGAAGTTGAAATTTTATTTTTTTTCCAATTTGAAGACAATAAATGATTTTAAATAAATTAAAATATAAAAATTATAATTTTTGAAATATATAGTTACTAAATTTTAAAATTTTATATTTCTACTTATAAACAACTAGTTTTATTAAATACTTTTAATTCAATCAACTAGTTTTTAAGTTTTTATTTTTTAGTTAATTTTGTTTAAATTTTAGTAACCTTAATAAGGTAGGAAGAAGACCAAAAATTTAAAATAAAAGTTAATGGAGAAGGATTGCATTTGATGAATCAAAGATGAAATAGACTTTAATTAGAAGTTACATCTAAAATCAAGGTGTCCAAGTCAAAATTATGAAGTCATTTGATTGTAAATAACTAAAAAATGTGGGTTGAAAGTCAAGAGAAAGTTCACATAAAATGAACATACAATTTCTAGTTAGGATCCAATTTAGAATCAAGTAAGCATTAATGGAAAGCATAAGGTAAGTACATAATTGTTAAAAGTAAGTGAAAACTTATCCAACTTAAGTCAAGTATAAGTAGTACATGTGAAAAGGAAGATAGGTGCATCCAAAAGCAACCCAAAATCAAGGCAAAATTTTTAACAATTTACATGAGAATAAGGAAGAAACCTTATCCAAATCAAAGTTAATAATCAAAGTCAAGATGAAGTCTTTTTGGTGAAGAGATAAGGAATGTCTTTTCAAATAATTAATAAAGGTCAAAATTATACCATGTTCAAGTGATTATAGGTCAATTCCATTTTAAAGTAAAAGTAAAGAAATTGGTTCCAAATTAACACTCCAAAAAGGTGAAGTTTACTTAAAATTCTCTCCACTTACACATCCAAAAGCCAACTTCAAAGTGGAAAGATTTTATTCTCCAAAATCCTCCAAAAGACCACACCAAGAGAACTATTAAAGAAGACCCACCAAAATTATCTTTCACTTTTCAAAGTTTCATCAAATCTCTCAAATACTTAACTACCACAAATCAATTATCAACCTCTGCAGTACCAAATTTCATATTATTCTTCCCTTTATACATGCATAAAGCACAGAACAAACAAAAATCAAAGTTAAAGATCTCAAGCTTAAATAAGGTAAGGGCAGAAATAATTTTATAAAAAATCCTCCAAACTTGCAAATGACTTTATAATATGTAAAGTTAAATATTGTTTTTTCTTTAATATTCACTTCTAACTTCTATATATTTTTTAAGTGACCACTAACTCATATTTTGTTGAGTTAACCACTAAATTTCTATGCTACTAAAACTAACTTTACATTATATCAAGCTTATCAATTTTATATTTTATCAATCTAACACATTAATATTTACATTTTTCACTAAACTTTATACTTTGTAGAGCTAACTTATTATTTTATATTGTCGTACTTTACTTTTAAATTTGGTGAAGTTGATTTAATTAATGCTATTTTTCTATTACTACTTTTTAATCGATTTTATTACTAAGTTATTTTTTAAGGAATTAACAAAAGTAAATGTTAATATTTTCTTTAATGAAATCAAGTAAGAAAGATTTGTACCATAAAAAAAAACTTAAATGAGGGTAAGGTTTTTTTAATTAAATGTTAATATTATTTTGTTAATTAAAATTATTTTTTATTTTATCATATATATAACGATTTACAATATTAATGTGTAATTTACATTGTCTTGAATAAAATATTTATCTATAACTTACCTTATGTACAAATTTTTAAAATAAAGTATATAATCAAATATTTTTATATATTAAATTAATTTTTTAATTATTAATTTATTTTAGTATTTATAACAATTTATAATATAAATATGTGATGTATGTTTGTCCTTTGTATTATTTATCATAACATAACATGTATAGTGTTTTATCTTGTGTTTTAAATGTTATTTTTTTAAAAATAAATAAATTTAATCTTTAAATAAAGAGTTTTTTATTTTTTACATAAAATTTGAAACAACAAAAATTATTTTTTTACTATTTTAGATAAAACTACAAAATTTTAAATTCTCTATTATACCTAAAGATACGTAGAAGTAAAAGCTACTGTGGATGACCAAAATTATTTTTAAAATAATATTTTTATTAATAATAATTCCATGATTTTTTTATTGGTGTTTATCTTATTATGTTATATTTGTATGTATAGAATTAAAAAATCTTAAATATATCATAATTAATTATATTGTAGGCAACCACATCACATATAGTTAATGGATCTATAAAGTAAAATAAGATAAAAGATTAAGTAAATTAAACCAATTTTTCTCTTTAAATTGTTGTTAAATTAACAGCTTATAGGCTCTTTATGCTTTCTTTTCCTTTTATCTTATATGACCATTGGAGGTAATAGTTTTGAAAAAAAAATCATTAACAGTGCATGACCATTAAGTGTTAATAATTTTAATATGAGTGATTGACAATTATATAGAAACTAAAATTAAAATTAATTTAAAAGACAATATAAAGAATTATGAGGATGAAATTATACATCCTAAGTTCTTAATTAGTTTATTGTTAGAGATTTTGCTATTTTTAATTTTATTTTAATCATTTTTATATTTAAATTATTGTTTTATTTAATTTTATATCCTTTAAATTTAAATAATTAAATTAAAAAATTTGTAATAAATGAAACAATCCTTGTGAGATAATAAGTCATAAACTTATTTATAAAACTCTTTAT